CTCCACTAGACCTCCGATTCAACAAATGTCAGTTTTATTAAAGATATCAGACGGTTATTTCTGTCTAACCAATACCATAAATACCAGTTCCGTGTCTATAATTAGTCTGACTGTAGCTCATTCAATGAATAACAGAAACGAATTCATTGGTGTAGTTCCTTGATTCCTTGAAGAAAGCAAAAAATGTATACCTCATTTTTACCTGCCTTTCAAAAACCATCATTTAAAAAACATCAATTCCTTATTGCGCTCAGCTGTTTCGATAGGTCTTCTCAGCTGAGCAGCGAAATGTGAACCCCGTGAGTAAACGGGTACAAAATGGTCCTTGATTACCACTCAGTACATTTCTGATTTCTTGCACTTGCAAGAGCAAATTTCAATCACATTATTTTGAAGATGTACCCTATTTTCTCCTTCTCTCTCAGATGTTTTTAGTGAAAGTATACATATATTATACCAAAAAAAATGCTCACTTACCGGATTCAGTAGAGGGGTACTCGTGACAGGAGTTTAGTTTAGTGAAGTGTTCTTCACGAATACAATGCATCAAGACTAGACTCCACCACAGAGATTTACGCTCTGATCTGGTACTGGTGCGTACAGCTAGCGCAGTACTCTTCCCAACTAAACCGGTACGGTCGATCCACAGTGAAGTCCATCCACTCTCCGATCCGACACGCTGGCACGTGTACGGTGGGAGTGGGACGGTTCGTTTATCTCGGGAAACTGAAAGTGTCAGCAAAGTTGGGTCATGCCTCCTCATGTTTTTAATAATAATAAAATAATATTGATACAAATATTCAACTTTTTATATAGCGCTTAATACAAATGTCTCTATGCGCTTTGGGTCCAATCCGGGGGGGGGGGGGGAGCCGGGGGGACTCCGATTTGGTTGGTCGACGGGGATGTCGATCAGTCGCTCATCAAGCCCGGCCGCGCCCCCCCACTCAGAGGTCGAAATGACCGCATGCGTGTTGCCAAAATGTCCGGTAAAGGGGTACTTTTCGGGCGACAAAGTCCGGCCCGAGAATTGTGAAAAAAGGGGTGTATTTTACTTTTCACCCGGAGATTTCTTTAAAAAGGGGGTGTTTTTCTTTTTTTTCTCTCATCTCTTTGGACTCCTGAGAAATTATTCCGAATTTAGGGGGTACATTGAGCATTTTTCCTGATTTAGGGGGGTCTCCAAGGCAGAAAAAGCCCGCGAAAAGCCCGCGAAAGGGGGGTTCGGAAATGTTGGCAGTCCTCAGATAGGGGGTGCTTTTAAAAATAGGGTACGAGCATATGCGTACCCTAAATAACACTGAGTGGGGGGGCCGGGTCATCAAGACGGCTCGAAACCCGTATATTTTGGGGCATTTTTTTTCGAAAAAAAGACCCATTTTGCATGGCCAACACCTTTTGAATGAACGTGTGACCCATTAGAGCGGCACACCCCCGTATGTCCTAATAGTGTGAGTGTTTTTAGTGATTTTAATAATTATGTCATATTGTTTTCCCCCGAGTCGAGCTATACAATTACAATTGGTATTGTTGGCATAATCCGAAATGCACATTTCATATTAAATATCTATTCCATGAAGTAGAAGGGACGACGGTTGAATATAGTTCTTACTCTAAATATTTGTTTTGATTACAAAATTCCATTTTAACTAAGTGTCAACATTTTGCTACCTCACTTCGGTCGCTTGCAAACTTTGGGAAATGGAAAGAAGATCTTCACATGCACAAGAGACGTCATGCTAACGAACTAGTTAGTCAGTGATGGTATACAGTAATTTGTATATGGTGGACGCTGGCGGTGGTGGGCGTGGTCACGGGGCGGATCCAGCCGGCGGCAAGGGAGGGGGCCAAATAGGGAGCCTAATTCGTATATTCAGAAAATATTATATCGGCGAATCAGCCAGCCAGCGAATCAGCGGGGGGGGGGGGGGGGGGTGGGGTGATAAGGAGCACTAATTTTTTTCCTCCCAATTCGTGAGCAATATTTTTTGGCAACACCCCCCCCCCCCCCCTTGAGGCAGGAGGAGGGGGCCCGTCTTCTTTTTTCCAGTTAAATTTACCTGTCTTTTGGGCCAGGGGAGGGGGACCGGGGCCCTTGGGCACCCCTTCCCCCTGGATCCGCCACTGGTGGTGGTGGTGGGGGGGGGGTGGTGGTGGGGTAGACAGTGATGGCGGTGGACGAAGGTGGTGGTGGACAGTGCATGGTGGTGGTCGTCGTCGTCGTACTGGGTGGTGCATGGATCCAGCCGGCGGCAGACGAGTGCAGGGGGAAAAAACGTGTACAAACACGTTAATTTTACCTTTTTTGGGAGATCCCCCCCCCCCCTGGCGCTCAAGGGGGGGGGGTGCAAATTTTCAAATTTTGGAGGGCCAAAAAAAAATTGGGCCCCCATCCCTAAGAAATCCTGGATCCGCGCCTGGGCGAGGGGGCCAAAGAGGGGCCCAATTCATGCCATATATCTAGTGGCGAAACAGCCAGCCGGTGAATAAGCAGGGGGGGGGGGGGTAGGGGGTAGTGATCGAGCACTATTTTTTCTTTTTTTTTTTTTTGCCTCCAAAAATTTGAAAATTTGGGGGGAGTGGTATTAGCACTAATTATATTTTTGTTCCCCCCCCCCCCCTTGGGCACCATGGGAGGGGGCCCGTCTTCAAATAAAGGTAAAATTAACGTGCCTTTACATGTTTTTTTCTGGATCCGCCACTGGTGGTGGTGGTTGAGGTGAATTACGGTGGACGGTGGTGGTGTACCTACATGATGCTGGTGCATGAAGGTCGTACGTAGTGGACGTAGTTGTGGTGGTGCCAGTTGTGGTACGTGGTACGTGTTTTAGGCCTACGTGGTAGCGGTGGTGGTGCCCGGATGTTAGTGGTGGTGCATGGTGGTGGTGCATTGTGGATCTATTAGGAATAAATCATTGTCAAAATCATTCAATAAATTGGGGTAAAAATAATTATTCCACCATTATGACCAACAGTGTACTATTCGGATCACAAACTATTGCAAGTGAGAGCCAAAAATGAAGCGAGCGAGTGCAAACAATAATTTCACTCTAAATATGGCAAAAATGTTATTTAGCCATAGGCTTATTGATTTAATGTAAAATCATATTTGGTCGATCATTTTTTTTTTTTGCCAAGGAATCATCATGATTAGTATAAATTTATCGAGAAGTAAAGCGAACATTCGATATAATAGTAACATGCAATACAACAAATAAGGTTAGCACCATGCTGCCCGAATAAATCATGATTGTATCCGTGGACCTCGCTGTCTGAAACTACCCCGTTTCTAATTTTAGGAGCGAGCAAAAAAACAACACAATTTACTTCATTTGAAATATGATTTCCTCATCAAAATACCGAGCAATTCGAGCGAGCTCTCTATATTTGAGAATCTTGCAGTTCCAAGTGACACTTTGTTTCCATGAAGTTTTATTCCAAAATATATTTTAAATATAACTGAAATATTCTCGCGGCACCCCAATTGAAAAACGGGTCAACAATAATTGAGCGGGCAGATTGACTATATAGCTGGGCATATCTCTTGCCCCTTTGGAGTGGGACAATTTTGCAATAATTTTAAGACTTATCATAATTGTACCCACGTTACTGATTCACAACGTACGTGTGTAATAATCTTTAAAGAGCGATTTATCTCCTTATTATTTTCTCACGTTCTATTCGTTTCCTTCATTGATCTCTCCCCTCGCTGTCACCTCTTCCCCCCCCCCTTTTTTGCCATTTGATTGGGGCACCCGTGCGGCCCGCCCCCCCCCCCGGGCCCGTATCTACGCCACTGGAAGTGATAATCGACTGGTTAGTAGTGATGCCGGTGGTGTTGTTAGTGGTGGGGGTGATACAGTTTTAAATTTTGGCTCATGATGCACCCGGGGGTCTCAGTCATAGAATAATGTTAGCATGCGTGACCACTGGTTTTCCAGACACCCCCTAAACGAGGAATTCTTCTGAAACCAAAATACACCCTAAATGAGGATTTCGCGTGTTTTTTTTTCTCCAAGTATTCTCACCCTAAACGGGTATTTCAAAAAGTGTACTCCTAAACAAGTATTGTAAAATAATTATTGTAGCCCCTTGAGCACTTTGACAGACGTATAGGCTTACTCACCAGAGATGAAAAGAGAGGAAAAGGACAGTTATTAGAAAAGAAAGGGGTACTTGTCCTATGTAAAAAAAAAAATTAAAAAAGGGCTTTATGTGGGTACCTGAAAAGGTAGGCCTGCACAACGCCCCCCCCCCCCCACCGGGTGTGCCACGTCTGGCATAATGGGCAAAAATGAGAGAAAAAAAACTCGGAAAATCATGTCATTTCAGAAACATTTGTAAATCTCTGGTATCGAAATAGAAATAAACCACGTTTGAATTTTATTTGGGGGTCAACTACCCCTCCCCCCTTTAGTACGCCAGCATAACAAATAATTATGTTGATCACCGCCAAGAAAATGCATGCAATCGCAGATCATCATCGTTGCTTAATTTAAACTTTTTTTTTTTTTATTACCGCCAGTCATGACCAAGCCAATCATAACTTTTTCTCAGGGGCGGATCTAGCTTTGAGTGCTACCGGGGGGGGGGGGGGGTTGACCCAGTGCCAATATTTCGCTCATTGTGGGGGTGTAGAAATCACTAAAAAATAAAAATCATTTTGCCCCTGACATTTAATAAAATAACAAATAGTAATAATTGTTTTACTATAGCCTATAAGGGGGGGGGGGGGGTAAACCCCCACCACCTAGATCCGTCCCTGATTTTAATTGTTATATTCATGAAATCGGCCCTTTCAAAAATCTTTCTATGCTAATAATAATAATAAATAATAATATTTAATTTTTATATAGCGCTTAATACAAATGTCTCTAACATGATTTATGACAACAACAACACAAAAGAACAAGGGGTAAAATCATGATCAATATTATGAAAATGTAGGGATATGGGATATTCTCAGATTAATGCACCCTCGGCCTCCAGGCAGCGTACGCAAGAGCATTTGCAATTTCCGAACAAAATCGAACGTACGCTGCGCTTGCGCACGTTATAGTATGCTTTTGAATCCTTTCTTCTCTCGATCGCCACACAGATTTCTGGGATTCGTCCTGTTTAATTTGTAAGTACATTTGTTGTTTTCAACAATTATTTGGTAGAAGTTATGCACTAAAAAGCATTCATTATAATTCTCGTCATATTGTGTGCAGTTTTTCTTTAGTTTGTGATGATGTTATGATTGAACAATTGCTAGTCTAGAATAGACTACAGATGTACTCAACTCTTTTGTTGCAGAAACTGAGAAAGCCGAGTGAGGGTTGATGATCGTGTATGTGCGTGCGTGTTGATCAAGAGTTGTGTGGGCTATGTACAAAAATTAATAGGCCTAATGCTATGCCTTTATGGACGTTGTGATATGCAGATCAGAATTCAGAATGAAGTTGATTTGTGTGAGAAGAAAGTAGAAAAAAAAGATAGTGAGCCTTGTGTCTAATTACCTAATATTTGACTTCAATCTGACACTAGTTTTTCTTTTATATTCCTTTGATGTTTAAAGTTAAAAAGAGAAGGTTGAGTTCTGGGAAGAGGTGAAAAATAATTTGTGAGCATTACTCATTCTTATTATGCAAGTGTGGAAGAACATCAGTTAAGACATGTTCCCTGAAAAGCATGGCTCTTCAAATGCCTTCATATTCTAAATATGCATGTAACATTGTAAAAATCGGGGGCCGGCTTTTTACGCCACGTGTTCGTGAAGTCCCATATACATCTTTCTGTGCAAGTGTTTGTAACTTTACCAAGACTTGCCAAATTTCTTATCATTTTGATGATTCCAGAACCTTGCAATACACACACATTCTTATATGCTAGATGATCAACCTTTTCTGGTCGGTTCCACACCGTTTCTTTCATAATGCAATCGCATGACCACAACTCAACTTCATCTTTAAAGAATAAAGTGACTCTGTATTCTGTAACAATTATGAAGGTTGATGAAAAAACTCTAGATCTAGATCTAGATCTAAGGCCATGTAAAATTGATTTCATGTTGATCGTCCCCGCCCGCTTCCTTTTTGGGGGCCGCCTCCTATTTTTTGTTATTTGTTTTTTTTTTTTTTTGAATTTTTTTGAATTTTTTTTTGAATTTCTTTTTGATTTTTTTTTTTTTTGAAAGAAAAAAACATGAAAAACACTGCTAAAATGGCTCTATTTCTGATTTAAAAAAAAAAAAATTGTCGGCGGCCATCTTGAAAAAAAATAGCCTCGACTGTCAGGGAAAATGTACCGAGCGGCCATTTTGAGCGGCCATTTTGAAATATCAAATATCAAATAACATGGTACACCCTCCTCCTCTTTTTCAAAAAATCCGGACGATCAACATGTAATCAATTTTACATGGCCTAATGTTGGAATGTTGTTGATGAGTTCGACAGTTGTTATTACATAGCCATAGATCTAGATCTAGACTCTATTCCTCTTTAAAAAAAACTGCTGTACTACTATTAATCTAACTCCAGGGAGCTCCGGCGCGGATGCTGAAGAATTTAGAAAATATATATGTGGGGACCAGGGGGGTGTTTCACAAAGATCCTAAGTTGAACTTATCTCTAAGTTGGACTTAACAATTATGGAAAGCTGTTAGCATCCTTGAAAATATTTTGTAAAAGTTGTTTTAAAAGGCATAAAATGTTGATTCAAATCATTCATATTTTCTATTATCATGGGAGATTTCATGTTCTTGATGTGAAATTTATGATAAGTCTAAAATACTTGAATTTTCGCTTTTGAATATATTTCATTATAAGGCTACAAATGGCTCTCCATAATATTTAAGTCCAACCTAGAGTTAAGTTGACTTAGAATCTTTGTGAAACACCCCCCAGATGTGTTGATAATAGGGACTTTTAGATTCGCACGAAGACAATAGCTCTAAGCTCTATGCTACGATCGACGTCCTTTTAAAGCACTGCCGTGAATGGAAGTACCACGTATCAGTCCACGCAAATCTAAAAGTCCCTATCACGTTCCTGTTTGTAAACTCATCCAAGTAGACTAATTTTCCTGTCTATACTATGCAGACGAGACCTAGATAAAGACTAGTATTAAGTGCTAAAAATTTCATCAGAATTATTTATTTTTAATATTATTTTCACCAAATGAAGTTGGCTGTGTCATTTTCACATTCGAAAGAAAAGTTCCCATATTGTTTACGCTCTCCTTTTTGCCTTGAAAAGTAGTATTTAAATTTTTGAGGCTTCAATCTAATGCCATGGTAATATGATGTTCACTTCACATATTCTTACTTAACAGCTTCATAAATCATCAGCTACAATGTCTCGCTACGGGAGTGGCGGAGGAGGTGGTGGAGGAGGCGGTGGTGGTGGTGGTAGGTCCTCGGCTGATAGAGGATGCAAAGTGTACATAGGAAACCTTGGAGAAAGTGCCAGCAAGTCTGAACTGGAGAGGGAATTCAGCCCCTTTGGACCTCTTAAGAGTGTATGGATTGCTAGGAATCCCCCTGGCTTTGCGTTCGTTGAGTATGAAGATCCTAGAGATGCATCAGATGCAGTAAAGGACCTGGATTCAAGGTATGATCAACAATGAAAGACAGATTGAGAATCTTTCCTATACCGTGTGAGTCAAAAAAAAGTTTACACCTAGAAAATTGCTAACTATTTAAAAAATCCTCTATGAACAGTAAATTAATATACATCATATGAAAGAGTGTTTTATCCCAAATCTTTTGGTACCATTTTTGTGTGGTATGTGTTCACTCTTGGATGAACAGGAGGCATTGTTTGCTAGAGTGCAAAAATCGACTTGCGCCAAAGTGATGCCTACAGTATGTATTATGTTGGGATTAGCGGAGTGAGAGAACGAATTGAATGTATCAAATAAAATGCATTGCATATGCTTTTTGCAGAAGCAAAGTCACACACACGCGCACAAAGGTTCGTTGACATTTGATACTCGATATTTGATATGTGTGGCATGATTAATTTTGTTAGGGATGTTATTTGGATCTGCATAGCCCGAATTAATACCCAAATCCCAATTGTTTTATTCAAACATCACATAAGCAACTTTGGCTCAAGTCGATTTCAAACAGTGCCTCCTGTTCATCCATGCGTGAACACATACCACACAAAATGATACTGAATGATTCGGGATAAAACACTCTTTCATAAGATGTATAATAATTTACTGGTCATAGATGATTTTTAAAATAATGAGCAATTTTTCTAGGTGTAAACTTTTTTTTGACGCGCACTGTATAGCATGCATTATCAAGTTTGCTAATTATGTATAGCATTGGGGAATTCTAGATAATGGTGATTTTTCTCTTTAAAAAAATTGTGTTATAACATGACATGAAATCGTGTCATCTGTTTCCAATCTTTCTTTGCATTATAACTTGTGCGAAAGAATTGTATGAAAGGGTTTTAGTAAAAACAAAACGGGCAATATCTGTGAATATTCACATGTATTCTGTCCTGTAAAATATTACATGTACTGTATGCTCGTAATAAAACCCACAAATCTGAAAGCCTACATTTTGAAAGGTTTTACACGTAATGACTCCATTATCTAGTTATGGACTAAACCAAACATTGAATATCATGTTTCAAAATAACTACCGGTACAAATTACCACAAATTGAAGTACTTTCAATATCTGTTTTCTTTTTCCCTTCATTGGTTTTTAGAAACATTTGTGGACAGAGGGCTCGTGTGGAACTAGCAAGTGGGGATTCAAGAAGGCGAGGCTTCCGTGGGGGTGGAGGTGGTGGTGGAGGAGGAGGTGGTAGTTTCCGAGGGAGCCGTGGCCCACCAAGGGGTGACAGCAAGTGCTACAACTGTGGTGACTACGGTCATTTTGCTCGAGAGTGTAATGGAAAGCGCAGCTCTAGTGGTGGTGGAGGTGGAGGTCGCCGCAGAAGTTACTCCAGGTATGCTCAAAGTAGTCCACAGTTCCTTACTCTCATAATTAGGAAGTTTATCCTCTGGAAATTGTATGTCTCTATTTTACCAGGGTAAATGGCAAAATGAGTTTGAAAGAAGTCAAAAAGAGAATATGCTACTTAATTATTACCCTCCTCTCAATCTCCTTTTCTGTGTTTCTAGTTGAAAGAGCTCTTTTTTAAGTGGAAAGATAAACAAAAATTACATTCCAGATGACAAGGTAAATACCATTCCGATTGAAAGCAAAAGAATTCAAAACATATGTTTTACACACATAGGATTCTACAAGATAATGTTAAACAACCTGTTGAGGGAACTTATGCATAATGTTACTCTTTTTGATATGCATTTTAAACAATAAATTTCAATTTTGTTTTGGCATTTGTAGGGTATTCTAAAGGTATTAATACATTTCCACTATAAAAAAAACTTTTACTTTTTTGTTTGCATTGAAATAATGTGTTGTTAGTGTGAATTTCTCTATGCCATTTAGGTAAATAAATAACTAGCAAATAAATTAATTGGTGAAAATGTTCTTTGTTTGAGTAAATATCTTCTTACAGTTTATCTGTAAGGCAGTGTACAGTGTTCTATAATTTCATTATTAATAAAACCTTGGTCAGAATTCTGTGACCATTCCCTCCTTCCTCCTTTTCAGGACTCTCCTTTTAACGGCTTCACAGCCAAGTAACGCCTTGAGCCTTGTAAAGTCCTTCAGGCAACCACCATAATGCACTTCCATGATATGCCCATGAGCTGGCTTTTCGACGGAATGTGATCTTTTCTTGATAGGACTTGTTCAGCAGAGGGCAGAAAGAAGCCTTGTGCTTCTGAAGCCCTCTTCTTCATATTGCACCTTTACGCCAAATCTGCACTTCAGGGTTCTTTATGAAAAATAAGCTTCAAAAATTCCAGATTCAAAATATCGACGAAGAAAAAAGGGGCTCCAAAATTGGCAAGTCACCACCATCTTCTTGCAAAAGCTCACAGTACGTCGAGTCATGCCACGTCGATAGGCACACGTTTGCTACTCCTGACGTCAGTTAGTTGCAGAATGCGGCCTTCAAATTGATAATGGCTTCGGGGTTTTACTATTTTCTTCGGTTCTACGTTTGGTAAAAAAGATCACGTATGCGTCTGGCTTCCTCATTCCAAAGCGCGTCCTTCTGCTTTCTCCTGCGTTTGTCCTACACTGCTGATAAAACTGGGAACCATAAGTTCCCTTTTTGTCAATCTTCACCCTTCTATTTCTACAGGCGAAAGAGGTAGTAAGTGAAGGTTTTTATTTAAGATTATTTCATTACATGTTTAGAGTGTATTCCAAAGAAAAGGAAGCTTTTGGAGGATTCACATTTTTCTTTGTTATCTGGACCCTGAAACCTGAATCTGGGTCACCCAAAATAAAAGTCAATAGGGCTGCCCTGTTTCAGTCAAAAATTATGTGCAGATTTTATAATTTAGTTTTTAGATGTACATGTATGGCAGGTAAGGATGCATTTAAATAATGTACAGATAGAATATGTAAAAGTAATAAATGATGTTCCTACATTGACAAAATTGAAAATCACTGATGTTTGTCTTTTTAATGAGAATTTCCTTAATTTTGTCTAACCTCTTAATACATCAAAAATGCTTGAGCAGAAAACCTAAGTTTTTATTAAAATAATGTAATATAATCTTGGTCACAGGGAATTCTCATGTTGTCATGTTTATTTCATTTGTTAACATGGGTTTTGTGTAATAAAAACAATGTATTTGACAGAAGGATCTTACATGATCAGGTAGGTGTTCAACAATGTACAATGTATGTCGTAATCAGGTATTAATAAAGAATTATTTGATTTTTCTGACAGGTCAAGATCCCGATCCCGCTCACCTCTTCCCAAACGAGGTGGATACAGTCGAAGCAGGAGTCGAAGGTAAGGAACAGTGACATGTCATATTGTCCCAAAAATAGAGCAAATTTTGAAATATTTCAGCACAGGATTACAAAAGTTTGATTAAAGGTAATACAAAGTTTTGGGAAATTTTGAAAATTGGGTCGATAGTGAATCTTTACAATTTTGATATATTTAGATGCCCCTGTGGATGTATTATAAGCACTAAAAAATTTAGCTCTTAAAAGACTTCTGCTTTCGAGAAAAATTGAATATAAAAATTTACCGGTGCTCCCGGTAAATGTTGATAAATCTCAAATAGCGCCTACGGCCATGCAATGGTAGCTGCGACCATGAAAATCTCAGAATATGTAGTTGTGATATATAATTATTCCAACGGGAATAGCTAATCGGTCAATTTTAGTCAAGAAACATAGTTTTATAGCTGAAGTAATATCGTGACCTTGAGAGGGAGCTATACAACACAAAGAGTTTATAATTTACATTTTTATAACTTTAGACTCGATTTCAACCACGACAACGATCACTGAATATTGTAGGATCGCATATGCTTCCAATATGTTCATTTGAACCAAATTCATGACCCCATACCAAAACTTTGTATTACCTTTAACCATTTTTAATGTATTATGTTTATGTTTCATTTGGCAATTAATTCAGAGCTGTTTCATGCAGCATGCTGCGAAATTAATCTTTATAGCCAAAATCAAGAATGAAAATCCCTATAGGAATTTGTGACTGGAATATTATGCATAAAGCTGATGTTTCAATTAACATTGTTTGCCTTTTGTCTTATATTACTGCACAATTAGGATGAATTGGAAAGGGCACAAAAAAATCTCCAAGGCCAATGAGAGGGGCATTGAGGCCAATCAAAAGGTTATCCATGGCCATGGCCTTGGATTAATTTAAGCCCTGGTCTTTTCTATCATATAGTGAATCACATTAGAAAATATAATATCAAGTACTGCCATATTTCTATTTCCATATTTATAGATTTTCAATTAAAGAAAGGTCTTTTGGAGTTAGTTTTGTGCGAGTTCATAATTTCCAACCTAACAAACATGTAAACAAGCAAAAACCACATCGTGGAATTGATCTTATTTCTTTTGTATTCTGTCATTGTACATACTCCTTTTGTATCTTGTCTTTCAGCTTTTTGCTGTGTGTTTATATGTAAAGTTCTAATGTTTGAGGGGTTAACATACCATAATTAAATATTGATATTGCAACAGATTTATAAAGAATATGTGTAAAACAGTTTCAGAAAATTTACAGTGTTGGATGAGTTGTCACTCACCCTCAATATTTTGTATTTGGATTCAATATAACCCTCCAACCTCCAAAATTGGATTAGTTTAAATATAATTCACCATCTAAAATTGTGATTGTTTCTCTCTTCTCATTTGTTACAGTCGTTAGATGTAGACAAGGTCCCAAGATCAACACCTGTGCTTTATATGTAATGTAAGTTGTCAAGTTGAAATAAAAACCAGTTCATTTTCTTCTAACTGGTTGGTTCTTGTGAAGCAGTTATGAAGAAAAAAACATCTCGTCATCCTATATTCTACTCGCCACGTCGTCATCAGAATATGAGATGGGTCTGTACAGTACATTGCATTGCTAAGTTTGGCTGATCTTGTGTCTGCGTGATGCTGCTTTCACTATGCGAGAATCAAGTATTTTTAAAAAACGTTTTATGATTCTTTCATGCAAGTTGGTAAGACTTTTTTTTGTACACTATCATTTATTAGTATGTCAGCATTTTTTTAAATACCATGTCTGTAAGTTATTATAATTATGCTAACATCCTTATCCTTTAAATTATCGGAAGCTATAGTACAAACAGGATTTTATTTCAAATCATATTTTCATTATCCCCTTATATCACCAAATATTTAATAAAAGTAACAAATGATACACAGAAACGTTTAGATGTATACAAAGCTGATTACAGCCTTTACTCCTCGCAGTTGGGAGTGTGTATTGTTTAACACAATAACTTTTGTTTCTGTATGTACACTGCTTCGTAGTCATATGAAAGTGGTATAAACCATCTACTCTTTTAGAACAATAAAAGCATAAAAAATATAAAAAAATGATGAATTTCTTATTTTTTACTCTTCCTTGCATATTGATTCTTTTCTCTTTTTTCAACGAGGATGGATTCAAAGGATTGAAGTGAATTTTGAAGACAATCTAGTACATGTGTATGTCTACAAAATACTACCTATTGCAGTATATATTAACAACTATTCAATCTGTTTTACATGTGAACTTGTACATTTTCTTCTACATGTATATATAATGTACATGTACCGGTATTTAAACTATTTTAAACACACACAAAAAAACACTCAAAAATCGTTTTAACACTTTATCATTGTGAAAAACTAATTATTTTAGTTATTTAATTGATTCATTGCATGTCTTGAAATACTAATTGGTAATATTTAGGAGACCTTTTCGTTAATATAACTTAATGACGTGAAGATGATTATATTTTTAATTTTTTCATGGGATTCTGTTATTTTAAAGGACATTTTTGGGTACTCATTTACTCAAGAATAAAAATATGATTTGCAGTGTTGATGTTTGTATACTTCCAAATCAATTTTTAAACATTCTTATGACTATCACGTTCTTATTTTCATATCTTTTGTTTAGATTATAGGAGAATTTTTGTTATCATCCCTCTTATTTCTCTTTATTTAGGGTGTTTTAAGTAAGGTGAAGATTGTAAAGATGTAGTAAATGAAGTACTGTTTTGATCTGTTTTTATTGTAAAATTATTGTTCCTTTTTGTCACATAAAGACCAATAAATTACAGGATTATATCGCTGTCAAATTACAAATATATAACTTGAATGGAATGTTTATTTTTGTACATGAACAGTATTAAAATTTATAACGGCTGTACATTGGTAGTGTTTCATTACTCCATTGAAGGGCAATAAGACATAAGTGCACAGGACAGGCTGAAACACAATACAAGGCTCAGTCACAGCTCTTTGATGCCGGTGTGCAAGATTGGCACCAGGTTTTGAATTTATCTAAGTCATTTATTGGCACTGGGGAATGATGCTATACAGTCGGCGGGCTTGAATTTTGATGTTGAATTTGAAGGGCAATCCAACCATGGGAGCAGAATGGGTGAAAATACGTTTTTGCAAATGTAGTTATGCAAACAAATGTAAATCAGCCAGTTTGACAGTTGATAATGAAGAGATGTCTTAAGTTTGAGGTATGGTGAATGTACGAGATGGGATAAAGATTGTTTTATTTAATATGCTAAAATGGCTGCATCTGATGAGAGAGAAAGAGAACTGTTCTTGGGTGTATTGATACAACTAAAATCAGATAAGGTTTTTTTGTCAACTTTTGGTCGTTTGTGGGGGGGGGGGGGGGGGGGTGGGGGATTACCAAGACTACAAAAGGACTTCACATGAGACACTTTATATGTGTAAAGATTAGGTTGATAAGGATCGTAATAAAGAAGTATTTATTTCCCATCTTGGCAGCCTTTTCAGGGGGGGGGGGGGGGGGGGGGGAGATAAAGGAATTGTGTTTGAGGGGGGGGGGTGTACTTGGTAACTTTATGATTATAGAGTACTTATCCATTAAGGTTGGAATTTCCCTTAAGAGGGGCTTTTTCTATTAATATGAAAGAGCACAATAGGGGGCACTTAATTGTGGAATTAACACATTTGGGTAACCAAAATTGGGTGATCAAAGTGGACATTGTGTGCATTGTGGCTGCCTAATGTATGCATCGGAGGCAGCAAACCAATTGGGGAGGGTGAAGCAGGGGCACAGTGCCCCCATTTTTTCATGTAGGCCTAACTGTAAAAAGTGACCCTTTTTACTTCAGGTCAGTTTCTTTTTTCTTTGTGATAGGGGCTTGTTTCCTGTGATAATGGCCCCTATTCAAATCTGAGAAGTGGCCCTTTCACTTTGCAAGTGTCTCTTTTCCTTTGTAAGAAGTGCCACTATCCCTTCCAATAAGTGCCCTATTCACTTCTCATAAGTGCCCCTTCAATGTTTACACATGGCTCTTATCCTTTCTACTAAGTGTTCCTTTTCCATTCTTAAAAGTGCCCCTTTTCGTCTCTGTTATGTGTCCCTTTTCACTTATGATAAGTTGCGCATCACTTCTGTATATAAACCTATTCAAATTTGATAGGTACCCATTTTCCTTCAACAAATGCCCCTTTTCCGTTATAATAAGTGCTTCTTTTTAACCTCGTAATTGCCCCTTTTCATCTGGGGTGAGTGATTTCTTTCCACCTCTGATAATTGCCCTATTTTACTTTGACATGTGCCCCTTTTTTTTCTTATAAGTGCCCATTTTCTTTTTAATAAGTGCCCCTTTTCCTTTTTGTTAAGAGATCCTTCCTTTTCTAATAAATGTCCCATTTTACCCTTGATAAATATCCCTATTAAATCTGATAGGTGTCCTTTTACCTCTTACAAATGCCCCTTTTTTTCATTTTCATAAGTTCATTTTATTATCACCTCTGATGAGTACCCGGTTCAGTTGTGATAAGTAGGCCTACCCCATTTTCACATCTGATAATTGCTCTTTTTACACTTGCTTCTGTTATATTTTGTATATGTCGAATTGTCGATGATCATAGGCGCCGGCCGGGGGGGGGGGGGCAGTTGCCCCCCCCCCCCCCATACAAAAAAGCAGTAAAGGAGTAAAGATGGTTTGTATTTTTAACCCCAAAGAACAAAATTATAATAAAAACCTGAATTATATCATATATAAAATTCCATTCAACAAAAGGAAAGTTAACAGGAATTGAATTTCCTAAACATTGCGCATGCCACCTATATTTATCAATGGAGGTTTTTATAATAGCAATACGCGCATATCGTGGACATATTGTGAGAGAATGGAAAAGCGTGTCTTTTTTTTTTATAGGGGTGAGAAGACATGAGCCCCTGAACACTGGCGTACTGATGGGGGGGGGGGGTATTTTGTATTCGATACCAGTGATTTACAAATGTTGCTAAAATGACATGATTTTCCAAAAAAAATTCTCAATTTTTTTGTAATTCATACCTTTTTATGCGTTTGTTGGAAAATTAGAAATTCCCAATTTTACAGTCGGGCGAAAAATATGCTTATTTAGAAGCCTTTATGTCAAGGTCTGCGAAACAGCTGGGCTCGGGGGCTCGAGCCCCCTTACTTTTTGAAAAAGTATGTTAAAGAGAAAAAGAAAGAAAGAGAGAGTGAAAAAATAAGTGACCTGCCAATGTCACAAATGAGGTATCAAAATAAGCTCATCTGACCATAATAAAATGCCTAAAACCCCAGAGCTTACGGGGGCTCTGCCCCCGGACCCCACCAAGGGCCCTAAGGCGGTCCCCTGGAAGCTCATCTGACCGTTATCAAAAACCGAAACCCCAAGCTTCCGGGGGCTCTGCCCCCTGGACCCCACCAAGGGCCCTTAGGCGGCCTCTTGATGTTCATCTGACCGTAATTACCTAAAACCCCTGAGTTTCGGGGGCTCTGCCTCCTGGACCCCACTAAGGGCCCTAAGGTGGCCCCTGCTCATCTGACCGTAGTTAAATATTAAAACCTCTGAGCTTCCGGGGGCTCTGCTCCCGGGACTCTCCGCCATTTAGTGACCTGCCAGTGTCACAAATAAGTTACGCTTATCTGACCCTAATTTAATGCCTAAAACCCCAGAGCTTACGGGGGCTCTGCCCCCGGACTACATCAAGGGCCCTTAGGCGGTCCCCTGGAAGCTCATCTGACCGTAATTAAATACCTAAAACCTGAAGCTTCAGGGGGCTCAGTCTCGACCTCCTGCCGAGGCCGAGGCCCTGGAGCCCACACCAATTTACGCTCTGATCGTTAATACTCCACTTTGAAAAACGTTCCGCGGGGGCTGCATGTAACGTGTGAGAGTGGTGGTGATGATGCAGATTTTTCTTCTGCCCCCCCTCCCCTTCCAAACGTTTTTGCTCATTACGTCACTGCCCCTGGAAGGTGAGCCCCCTGGAATGTTTGCCCCCCCCCCCCCCAATCCCAAACTGCTTCCGGCGCGCCTGCCGATGGTACCAGTGTCTTTTTGTCCGATAACGTAATATATTGATAATTTGATTATTTATTTTAATGATGAGTTATTGAAAATAAATTCATGCATATGGTTGATCTCTAATAAATTAATTGTAAATAAAAGAAAGACTCACTATTCAATCTTTACTAATGTGTTTGTCGATTGTGATACGTATAGGTTGTTCTTTAAATAATAATACAATTAATTGTTGCATCTTGACATTTTTAGCTGTAACAATTGACTGTATATCATCTTGGAAGCTTAGAACACATTTATGTCATTATGCACGAACATTTCTAAAGGTATTAGGTACTTTTAATAAAATCAAATATTTTCCTTCAAATATTGTGATCATGATTTATAATTATGCCATTATATCTCCATATTTTTTGCCTGGAAATCTTCAACGGATCATGCAATGAGTAAAATATGCTTACAAAAAAAAAGCTATAAGATTAGTCTGAGGCCTACATTTTATGCCGATTACCAGGCGCGTACGCAGGGGGGGGGGGGGGGTTTGGGGGGTTAAACCCCCCCCCCTTTGGAAATTTTGTGTGTGTAAACCCCCCTAAAAAAAACCTAAAACCCCCCCCCCCCCCTCCCCCTTTTCGATTTTTTTTTTTTTTTTTTTTTTTTTTTTTTTTTATTAAAAAAAAAAAAAAAAAAAAAAAAAAAAAAAAAAAAAATTATTCCCATGGCCGACCTAAAAAAGGTGACCTTACCCCCCCCCAACGGAGCAAAATGTCAAATTTCCAAATTTCGAGACCAAAAAAAAAAAAAAAAAAGTGTCCTCTTACCCTCCCCCCCCCCGCTTATTCAGCGGCTGGCTGAGTCGTTGCGAAATTTTCGGACCGATTTATAAATGTTAAAACCCCCCCCTTGAAAAAATCCTGCGTACGCGCCTGCCGATTACTAAGTTTTACTAAATCTAAACCTTTATTTCTGAAACTAAAACTTTTGAATGTCTTAGATCTTTGTAATTATAGATTTGCAATACTTATGTATTTATGTTTAATAACGTACTTCGATCATACCAATTAATCTTTGCAGCAAATTTTGCATTGTGCTTTGCATTCATATAATATTCGAAGTTCTTCTAATTTTCATTCATATAAAATAAGACTAAATATAACTTTAACAATTCATATTCTTAATTTTAAAGGGCCACAATAATTTTGGAATAATATACCTCATATGATATCAAATCTAGTCCAAAAGGAGACATAAATCATTTTTAATCCAACAAAATAAATAAAGATTGATTCGGTTGGAACGTGTGTTCAAAAAGTTAAGAATTCGGACACCACGCCCCAATACTTCAATGTTGATGTCGATTGTCACTTTGTACTTAAAGAACAATAAATCATTGTCGAAACTGGTGCACTGCTTTTGGTTATCACATTTGGATTTGAATGGGCACATTATTCGAGCTCGATCGACGCGATCGCGATATTTTTTCACTTTCTATTTAACCTGCGCCGAATCGGACGATCTCAACCGGGAGCGTTTTGCTGTTTTTTAAAGAGAAAGACCAGGCCCAAATAACGCCGAATCCGTTTAGTAACAGAAAAGACAAGGTAAAGTGGTATTAAGTAACAATATGTGGCTTATATGTTATCACTATATTATGTCGTTCTCATGGAACAAACACCATTTCCTTGAGTTCCATTTAGATTTAGTGATTTACAAAGCGCGCTTTCATTGTTGGTGAGCTGAGTGCACGTGCAACTCGAGGCCGCGTGATTCCACATGCAGGTGCATTACTATCCTGGCTGTGTAATAAAACTAAAAGCTGTGCTCTTGATTCTCAACATTTCAAACACCACTGTATTATAAAACTCAACTGATTTCACTCAAAATCGGTACTTTAGTGACGATTGATGACACCTAAATAGCATTAAAAACAATTTGTTCAACTTTCCGATGTTTTGTTAAAATAATAAAAAGAACAATTTAAAAATTCAAATTGTGAGTAGATCTAGGTCTAGGCTAGTCCACTGTGGTGACTGTCAGTCACAGACACAGTGTCAGTGCCCGTCAAACTTGCTGACCAGCCGCATCAGCATGATTGTGTGTAGACCGAATTTTCCGTCTCTTTCGTTCGTTAGCCTCTTATTGGGGTAGGGTCGGCTCTCTCTTTAGAGACGGAAACCGTCTAGCCTATACACATTCCCTTGATAACTCCACGTCCACGGCCATTTCAGGTCGTAGCGTTTTGCCCCCAAAATGTCATTTTACCTCATGCATTGATTATTTAAAATTAGGAGAAGGTTATACTACATCGGTTCCACTTACCAACTTGACTGAAATAATCCGTTTAATGCCTGGTCCCTTTTATGGAAATTATGGGTCAAAATCGACATCCATGTTGAAATCTTGCAAGCCGTGTTAAACTCTCGCTGCGCACGGAGTCATCTAAATCAATCTCATCCCTTCTAGTCTACGCCGAAGGCAAAGCGATTATGAAGGAAAAACTGTGATAACGCCATTACGAACGTGTAGATGGCGCACAGTTTTTTCCTTCATAATCGTTTTGCCTTCGGCGTAGACTAGAAGGGATGAGATTGATTTAGATGACTCCGTGCGCAGCGAGAGTTTAACACGGCTTGCAAGATTTCAACATGGATGTCGATTTTGACCCATAATTTCCATAAAAGGGACCATTAAACGGATTATTTCAGTCAAGTTGGTAAGTGGAACCGATGTAGTATAACCTTCTCCTAATTTTAAATAATCAATGCATGAGGTAAAATGACATTTTGGGGGATTTTGGGGGCAAAACGCTACGACCTGAAATGGCCGTGGAGTTATCAAGGGAATGTGTATAGACGGTTTCCGTCTCTAAAGAGAGAGCCGACCCTACCCCAATAAGAGGCTAACGAACGAAAGAGACGGAAAATTCGGTCTAGATTGTGTGTAGCCTAGGCCTAGACCGAATTTCGGGTAGGGTTGGCTCTCAAGAGACGGAAGCTGACTATACGCATTCACTTTCAAACACCAACCAAGGCCATTTATGGCCATATTTTTATGCCCCCAAAATTCCCCCAAATTTCATTTGACCTCCTGCATATCCAATTAATTTTATATTGTAAATTAGGCCTAGCCCTAGTATAGGCTATAATACATCGGTTCCACTTACCAACTTGATTGAAATAATCTGTACTTTCATGATCCCTTTTTAGGAATTTATGGGTCGAAATCGACATCCATGAAAATCTTGCAAGCCGTATTTTAACTCTCACTGCGCATGACGTCATCTAAATCTCATCCCTTCTAGTCTACGCTGAAGGCAAAATGATTATGAAGGGAAAACTGCGCGAGCTACAAGTTTGTAATGGCGTTATCACAGTTTTTCTTCATAATCATTTTGCCTCCTCTGGGCATCGCGCCAGCTTTGATGGGAAAAAGGGTGATACCTCGTCCTAAACCGAGCCATCCATGTTGTATCATTGATTCAACATGGCGAAGAGACAGTAGGCCTACGTACGCATGCATGTAGCAGCGGAGAAAATATGAATATTCGTGATATAGATAGGCAAATTCATGCAAAAAAATATATTCAAAAAATTGACTTGAAAACACATCAGACAATTAGTCTGAACCGAGTCAGGAGCAGATTTGAAGAAATTATATTTTTAAATGTTGTAAAACCAAAGATTTAAGAAGAAAACTGACCAAGTATCTGTACTAAAAATCGTACATCCGTAAAATTGGTCGTACATAATCGACAGCTAAAAATGACGCGCACGGTTGCGTTACGTGCGTTCTCGAATCCAAAATCATACCTCACACACACACTCTCGCCATACCGCGAATGGTCCGTCGTGGGGAGCTAGGCGGCTGAGAGTTTGCAGCGATACCAACGCAGCTTCGGAGCTCCGCAGCGCGCCATTTTAGCGGGACTCGGAAAGGTTCGTGGTGGGAAGGCAGCGGCCTAGCTTTTTGCCCAAACAACACTAGATCGGCTGCTGGCAAAATGAAAATAACTACGATCGAGAACATCGTCGGTTTCTTAACTTTTCAGTGAGATAATTCTGAATTCTAATTGAGACTATATAATAAATTAAATCGACAAAGAAACCTCGGTAGAACTCTTATAACTGTACAAAAGCTTGTTTATTTCTTCATTTGACATTTTGTTTTCGACCATTTTTTCGTGCGCGAGTCAATGCAAACTATGTATTACCAAACTTTCAACACGCAAGGAACGGGGAACACTCGCGGACCTCGTATCAAATTCGTTGCAAAAAAAAAATTCAAGGGTGATTTTGAAGCAGTGAAGAATATTGGCGCTGCAATGCGCAGAAATATACTTGAAAGAAACTTAAAAAATCATACCTGAATTTTCAGAAAATTGTATTTGTATTAGTGTACCTAGATGTGACTTGTTTATAACTCAGATTTTATGAAGATTTGTCTGGAAAAAATGTCAATTTTTTCCGTTTGGTGGTCATTTCTAGGCTAATATTTTAAAAGTTACTTCAGTAATGGTCTCGATGTTTCTTTTATCATACTCGCATGTTATTTCTACATAGATTAAACATAGGATGGTTAAGGGTAAGACCGGATAACACTATAAAAAAGATATATCCTTCCGACCTCCCATATCCACGTTTTGGGCTGATTATTGCCGACCCACCGCAGCAAGGCCATTCAGATTTTCGTACGCGACCGAAGCGCCCTCTAGTGCCCCATGAATGTGCCTAATATAGAGCGCTGTACGCTCTAAATTGCTGAATATGCAGGAGTTTGATAAGGAGATAACCCTGTAAGTTGGGGCTGTGATCGGAGCGACACCCTTGCACCTTTGATCGGTATCGGATCGGAAGATAGACTAGACCAAAAAAATCAGCCAATTTTTTTTTTTTTTTTTTTTTAATGACGAAAATTTTCAAGTTTTTGGCTTTCAAATGCTCAAAAAAAATTCATGGCTGGGATTATTTTGTCATTTTGAGTTGTTGTAGACCATGTTTGTTGATATTTAGTGCCTTTTCATGACTTTGAAATTAATAATATTGGTCACTCTAAGAGAAGAGGCAAAACATGCGGGCCGCCATCTTGGATTAAAATGTATGCATGCATTGCCCGATCATTTTAATTGATCAGCGATCGAAAATTATTATCCAAGTTAGATCAAGTGCACATTTTTCATTACAATGATTCATGACTTCTATGATTATTCCTTGTTTACAGCTTTGAAACAGGCAACAATGTCTCGCTACGGAGGCAGCCGTGATGGTGGTGGGGGTCGTGACAGTGGTTACGGTCGAGATAGTGGTGGCGGTCGTGACAGTGGTTACGGTCGTGACAGTGGTTACGGTCGTGACAGTGGTTACGGCCGTGACGGTGGTGGCGGTGGTAGGTCTGCAGCAGAAAGAGGATGCAAAGTGTATGTAGGAAACCTTGGAGAAAGTGCCAGCAAGTCTGAACTGGAAAAGGAATTTGGTTCTTTTGGACCCCTTAAGAGTGTGTGGATTGCTAGGAATCCCCCTGGCTTTGCATTCGTTGAGTTTGACGACCCAAGAGATGCATCAGATGCAGTAAAGGACCTGGATTCAAGGTATGTATGAATCAGTTTGTGATGAATTGTCTTAGTAATATTTTAAAATTTTGTGAAACGCATTAGAAAGTAGATTTTGTTACAGCTGTTCTAATACTGATTACCTTTAAAAAAATATGAAATCTGATTAAGGGGTAGATATGTTGAAATGATTTTTGTATTTCTTTTTATATATGATCAATGGCCTAGACCTTGGAATGTAATAACATCATGCTTGAAATGTTAAAGCACCAATACTATTCTCTGTTGTCTTTCAAGTTTCAACATCCTTGTAGAATTTTATTCTCTAATAAACCATTAGGGCAGGCTTTAAAGCTACCAATACCATAACATCGATGTTATCTGTTGAAAGTTCCAATTTGTGTGTTATCATAACAATTTACTGAAGGTTCTTTTTGATGAAAACTGTCCCTTATAATTTCTTCAGCTTCTACTTTGAAGTTTTGAAAAAACAGGAGCTGCTCTACCACTAATTTTGTTGGCTGAAATTATTCCAAACAAAAGTCTTGAGGAAAATCAATTTCATTGTATATTTTTTCTTTTGTTTCTCAGTACCATCTGTGGACAGAGGGCTAGTGTAGAACTGTCAAGTGGAGATTCAAGAAGGAGAGGAGGATTCCGTGGTGGAGGTAGTTTCCGAGGGGGCCGTGGACCTCCAAGGGGCGACAGCAAGTGCTATGAGTGCGGCGAAATTGGTCATTTTGCACGGGACTGCAATCGCAAGCGTAGCAGTGGTGGTTATGGTGGAGGACGTCGTAGAAGTTATTCCAGGTATGCTCAAAGTAGTCCACAGTTGTTAACTCCATCAAATCATAAATTAGATTATCCCTGTGGAAATTCTAAAATACATTTAGGTTTGAAAATGTTATTTTACCAAATAAAATTAATAGTTCAAACTTGAGACCCTTTTTTAGGCTCCCCTGATTCAATAAGCTGAAAAGAGGCCATAGTGGAATAATGAATTTAAAGACTTATGACTGTTCATAGTCCATATCCCCTATACATTTATATCAGGGTATATCATAATATAAATAATGGTTTCGCAATAACATTCAAGAAGTAGTATTCAACCATTGATATAGGGATTAAGGTAGAGAAATTGTCCATAAGTGCAATGCTATAGTTTATGACATGTGTACAGGTAGTTTAAAATTTCACTTCATCATTGGCTTTCACATTTAATGTTTCAAGTTATTGATTCATTAAAACACCTGTAGACACTTTATTGCATGTGCACAATACATATCTTGACAAAAATTATGTGATAAAGGCAAGAACAAATTTCAAGGCTTCAAACAGATGTAATAAAAATGTGAAAGTATTAACTTTTTAAATCAATGTGTGAATTGATGGATCACTATGGTATAGAATGTATTAATTGAACTAACATTTTCTAATATCTGTACAACCTTCTGTAATTTCATTTTGATTAAACCTGGTCAGAATTCTGTGACCATTCCCTCCTTCCTCCTTTTCAGGACTCTCCTTTTAACGGCTTCACAGCCAAGTAACGCCTTGAGCCTTGTAAAGTCCTTCAGGCAACCACCATAATGCACTTCCATGATATGCCCATGAGCTGGCTAGTCGACGGAATGTGATCTTTTCTTGATAGGACTTGTTCAGCAGAGGGCAGAAAGAAGCCTTGTGCTTCTGAAGCCCTCTTCTTCATATTGCACCTTTACGCCAAATCTGCACTTCAGGGTTCTTTATGAAAAATAAGAAAAAGCTTCAAAAATTCCAGATTCAAAATATCGACGAAGTAAAAACGGGGCTCCAAAATTGGCAAGTCACCACCATCTTCTTGCAAAAGCTCACAGTACGTCGAGTCATGCTACGTCAATAGGCACACATTTGCAACGTTTGCTACTCCTGAGGTCAGTTAGTTGCAGAATGCAGCCTTCAAATTGAAAATGGCTTCAGGGTTATTCTAGTTTCTACAGTTCTGCACTTGGTAAAAAAGATCACGTATGCGTCTGGCTTCCTCATTCCAAAGCGCGTCCTTCTGCTTTCTCCTGCGTAACCCCGTCACTGCTGACAATCACAGGGAACCCTAAGTTCCCTTTTTGTCAATCTTCACCCTTCTATTTCTACAGGCGAAAGAGGTATTTAAGATTATTTTCATGTTCAGAGTGTATTCCAAAGAAGAGGAAGCTTTTGGATTATTCAGATTTTTCTTATATAAATATAAAAGTCAAAAGGGCAGCCCTGTTTCAGTCAAAAATAGTGTATGGATTTTATTTTAATTTAGTGATTAAATGTATATGTAAAGTCATAATTGTTGTTCCTATATTGACAAATGGGGAATCATTGATGTTTATCTTTTGAATAAGATTTTCCTTAATTTTCTAACCTCTAAATACATCTCAAATGGTTGATGAACAGACCTCAGTTTTAATTAAATAACGCTAATAGTAATGAATTCTCATTGTCATTCATGTTTATTTCACTCGTTAAAGGGATAGTTGAGTTTTGTTGCAGAGGGCACTGCACAAAATCATTTTTTGTGAGATAATGATAAACCGAGTGTGAAATTTGGAAGAACGTACAATTCAAATGACAAAATCATCTTCGTTTGATCGAAATCGGTTCAGAGACGGCTGAAATATCCATAAATCTAATGATTTCTAATATTTGTGGTGCCCCACAAATATTTGATAATTTTGAACCAGCCGTTGAAAAAAAAGATATAGCGTCTTATACGTTTTATCCCAGCCAATGCCGATGTTGGCTTTATGTATTGTTATCAATTGATTAATTAACTAACGGTCACCGTATGTTTTTGAAAGTGGAGCTGAATTGGTATGATCGTATTGGCTAAATTTCACACATTTTGGGGTTTAAAATTACCTTCATAGTAATTTTAGGTCCTTAAAGAGCACTAGAAGTGTCATAAATAAGAATAAAAGCAATAACCACGTACTTTAAAGGCATTTGCAGTCTGAAACAAGAACTTAACTATCCCTTTAAACATGGGTATGTATTAAAAAAAACAATGTATTTTACTGCTTTGTGTCTTTGAACGAACCGTGTAAGTTAATAGAGTTACGATCAGATCGGCGGTTTGGCTTCCGATATCGGTATCGGACCAACAGTTCGGGCGGGAAAACTGATGAATGTTTTTGTTGAAATCTGATTCCAAAAATTGCGCACTCTAATTACGAAATCACTCATAGCTTGGATAATTCTCTCATTTGAAGTTGTAGTCCATGTTTAAAGCTATTTTCATGCTGTTAAATGACAAAAATTGATGCTTTTTTTTTCCTTCCAAGCATTTTCCGATCATGTTCATTGATGGGCTATCAGAATTTTTCATCTGATTTCACCGGAACAGCCGTGATCGGCCCCCGATCCGATTATGGGATAAAGGATTACTTTGAACATACTGAAGGATCTTACATGAACAGGTCGGTATTTAACAATGTATGTAGTAATCAGGTATTAATAAAGGATTTTGTGATTTTTCTGACAGGTCAAGATCCCGATCCCGATCCCGCTCACCTGCTCCCAAACGAGGTGGATACAGTCGAAGCAGGAGTCGAAGGTAAGGATATTGTCCCAAAAGTAAAGCAACTTTTGAAATATTTCAGCACAGAGTTACAGAAGTTAGATAAACCATTTAAAATATATTACGTTTATGTTTCATTTGGTAATAAATTCAGAGCTGTTTAATGCAGCATGCCTCAAAATTAATCTTTAATGCAAAAATCATTAATGAAAATCCCTCACATAGTGTGTACGTATACAAATTTGGGACAGGAATCTTACGCTTAAAGCTGATGTTTCAAAATGCGTTGTTTGCCTTTTGTATTTTCTATCATATAATGAATCACATTTTAGAAAATAATATCAAGTGCTGCCATATTTCTATTTCCATATTTATAGATTTTCAATTAAAGAAAGGCCTTAAGGAGTAAGCTTTGTGCAAGTTCTTATTCTTTTGTCAACCTTACAAACAAATAACGGGCAAAAACAACATGATTTTTTTTTTTAATTTTAAAATTCTTTTATTGTCTAGTTTTGTATTCTCCTGTCTTTCTGTTTTATGCTGTGGGTAAATCTGTAAAGTTCTACTGTTTGAGGGTTTTACATACAATGATTAGAGCTGCTATTAATAAAGCCTCTGTCACAAATGCCATTACGAACTGCTACAAACGCTGTACGAACGATTTTCAGACAATGGAAAAATGGGGAGATTCGTACGAACGCATTGTTTGTACAAACTTTTGTGACCGTAGCTTAAGATATGATTTATAAAGAATATGAGTAAAACAGGTTCAGATTTTTGTTTTTATAGTGTTGCATGAATTGATACCCACCCTCAATATTTTGTATTCGGACTCAATATAACCCTCCAAACTCCAAAATTGGATATAATTGACCATCTAAAATTGTGATTGTTTCTCTCTTGTCATTTGTTACAGTCGTTAGATGTAGACAAGGTTCCAAGATCAACACATCCTGTGCTTTATATGTAATGTAAGTTGTCAAGTTGAAATAAGAACCAGTTCATTCTCTTCTAACTGGTTGGTTCTTGTGAAGCAGTTATGAAACAACCCATCTTGTCATCCTATATTCTACTCGCCACGTCGTCATCAGAATATGAGATGGGTCTGTACTGTACATTGCATTGCTAATTTTGGCTGATCTTGTGTCTACGTGATGCTGCTTTTACTATGTGAGAATCAAATGTTTTTCTTCAATGTTTCATGATTCTTTCATGCAAGTTGGTAAGACTTTTTTTGTACACAATCATTTATTAGTACGACAACATTTTTTTTATACCATGTCTGTAAGTTATTATAATTATGCTAACCCCCTTAACCTTTAAATTATTGGAGGCTATAGTACAAACAGATGGATGTAATTTCATATCATGTTATTATTCCCATCATATCACTAAATATTTAATAAAATAAACAAATTATAGATATATACTATGCTGACGGACAGTATTTACTCCACTCTTTTCACAATTGGGAGTGTGTATTGTTAACACTTTATTACTTTCGTCACAAACCTTTTTTTTTTGTCTATTTAATCAGTACAAATGTTCGTTTCAGTATGTATACTCCTTCTTAGTCATGTGCATGTCATTCAGACTATCTACTCTTTTTTAACAATAAACCATAAGAAATATAACACTGAGATTTCTGGTTTCTCTACATTCATCTCTATTGTTCTAAGCCATTGTTATGTGAGTGTCAAATTGGTGAAAACTTGCATGCATTGGTTCAAAAAACATGTCATGAATTTATGATTATTATTTTTTTTTTTTTTGGGGGGGGGGGGAGAATTGAAGAGGTTAAATTCAAAGGATTGAAGTGTATTTTTGATGATGATCAAGTATGTCTACAAAATACTACTGATTGCATTATAAACAACCATCCATTTACTCTGTGTTACATGTGAACTTACACATTTTCTTCTACACATACAATGTAGTTTATATATAATGTACATGTATTCAAACACCAAATACTAGTCAAAATTCATTTCAGCACCTTTCATTTTGAAAGACTAATTATTTCAGTTATTTGATTGATTCATTGCATGTCTTGAAATGCGTATTGACAAAATAGGTAATTAGTAAAATGTAGGAGACCTTTTCTGTACTCACACTTGATGACGTTAAGATGATTGTATTAATGTACTGGTATTGTAATTTTTTTCATGTGATTTTGTTATTATAAAGGACATTTCTTTGGTACTCCACAATTTAAAAAAATGATTTGCAGTGTTGATGTTTGTTTACTTCAAAACTGATTGTTAAAATATTCTTATTTTCATTATAGGAGAATTTTTGATATCATCCCTCTTATTTCTCTTTATTTAGGGTGTTTTAAGTAAGGTGAAGATTGTAAAGATGTAGTAAATGAAGTACTGTTTTTATTGTAAGATTATTGTTCCTTTTTGTCACATAAAGACCAATAAATTACAGGATTATATCGCTGTCAAATTACAAATAAAACTTGAATGGAATGTTTATTTTTGTACATGAACAGTATTAAAATTTATAATGGCTGTACATTGGTAGTGTTTCATTACTCCATTGAAGGGCAATTAGACATAAGTGCACAGGACAGGCTGAAACATGATACAAGGCTCAGTCACAGCTCTTTGATGCAGGTGTGCAAGATTTGGCACCAGGTTTTGAATAATTTATCTAAAAGTCATTTATTGGCACTGGGGAATGATGCTATACAGTCGGCAAGCATGAATTTTGATGGTGAATTTGAAGGGCAATCCAACCATGGGAGCAGAATGGGTGGAGAAAAAAAATTTGCAAATATAGTTATGCAAACAAATGTACATCTGTGTGAGTTTGATAGTTGATATGAAGGTATGTCTTAAGTTTGAGGTATGGTGAATTAACTTAAAGAATGTTTGAGACTGAATAAATGTAATTATATTTATGCTAAAATGGCTGCATTTTTAAGAGAGGGAAAGAACTGCTGCTTAGGTGAAAAATCAGATAAGGTTTTGTTGGCTTTTTTTTGGGGGGGGGGGAGGGCTTACCAATACTGCAAAAAGTGCAAATGGACTTTACAGGAGACACTTTGTATAGGTAAAGATGATGTACGAGTGGAAGGTTGATGAGGATCATAATAAAGAAATGCTTATTCCCCATCTTAACAGCCTTTAGTGGGGGAGGGGGGGGGGGGGGGACTTGGTTACTTTTAATAGTCTGATATTTTGCTTTCTTTTAGAGTACTTATCCATTGAGGTTAGATTTTCCTTTTAGAGGCCTCTTTCTAGTAATATAAGTGAGCACATATAATAAATGGGGGGGGGGGGGCACTTATATGTAAGTTAAGTTCTGGTCGTGCGATGTAGGCCGGGGTGTATATTAAGTCTTAAAATTATATATTTTGGCAAGTAGGTGCCCCTTTTTTCAATATTTTGTTCTATTTTGTAGGTGCCCCCCCCCCTATTTGGAAGACACTCCGCTGCCCCTGATTTGTAGTGTTTTTTAAAGTGAACTGCAGTGAGAATAATAGTTGACATATAGTTTTAGGCCAGCGCCTTTCCCCTATACAAAATGTATGGTGTACCACTGTAACCAGAAACGTAGCTCCGGTGGAAGTGCCCCCCCCCCCCCCCACTTTTGCTAGTTCACAAAAGGTGCCCTTTTTACATTTTACTTTTGTTTTTACCTCTTTACCTACGAAAACTGCCCCTTTTATTTTAACACATGCCCCTTTTCCTTCCTCAAGTTCCCATTTTCCTTTGCTATAAGTATCCATTTTCCATTGTTATAAGTGCCCTTTTTAATCTGTAGTAAGTGCCCCTGTTCAGGTTCGAAAAGTGTCCCTTTTCACTTTTGAGAAGCCGCCCCCCCCTTCACCTTTGATGACTATCCTATTCTAATTTAAGAGGTGCCTCTTTTACTTTAACAAGTGTCCGTTTTCCTAAGTAAGAAGTGCCCCTTCCCCCTCTTAATAACTACCCCTTTTTACCTATCATAAGCGCACCTTTTATTTTCACATATGCCCCTTTTTCTTTCTAATAAGTGCCCCTCTTCCTTATTATAAGTGCTCCCATAAAAGGAGCACCTTTTCTTCTCATAAACGGCCCTTTTCATCTACGAAAAGTGTCCTTTGATTCTCATAAGTGCCACTCCCGGCCTCTTCTTATAATTACCCCTTGTCATCTCTGAAAAGTGCCCCTTTTTTCTTTTTAATAAGAGCTACTTCCCCCTTCTCATAAAATCCCCCTCAAAGCTGATCAGTACCCCTTTTCTTATAACAAATGCACATTTTTCCTTTATTATAAGTGCCCCTTTTCCATTCTCATCCATCTGGCCACTGCCCCTTTCCCCCAAAGCTTACTCACTATACTCACTCGCATGTATAGATGATATAATTTATGTTACTTAAATAATAACTATGATTATCAAAGGTCTTTTCAATCTCCCGTTAATAGAATGTGCTTATGACCCCATCAGGATTGGGTTTTTTCTCCACTTTATAAGATGTAATTTTTTTGCAGTGTAACCGCACAAATTTATTCCTCGCTCGCAAACGAATATTCAGACCATCACACCCAACTACAAAGGTATGCATGCATAATTAAGGCAAAGCAATATCTTGTATGATCTATACAGAGAAACAAATATTGAAAGCATCCCAGACAATGTAATCACAATGTAGGGTTATTAACCAATGTCTACAAAATTGTGTATTTTCGCTTTGAGATTTCCCTATGTAGGTGCCCTTTTTTCTCCAACCTAAAGTGCCCACTGTGGAAGTCGCACTGCCGCCCCTGACAGCAGTGTGTGCTCAGACAGGACAAGTTGGTTATCCGGGCGCGTACCACAACTTCGTCTGATCAAGGAGTTTTAGCATCTTGGTTTGATGCTGTAGAACGATTTTTGGATGCAAATTTATTTAGACGGTATTTGTGTGCCGTGCAGGTTGACTCAGGTTTTGAATCCGGACAATCTATTTATAACTATAATTTGAAGAAGTTTACAAGCCACATATTTCCTTAATCTTTTAAGACTTATGTTAGAAATTATATAAAGGAGAAATATTTGTGATATTTAGTGCTATTTGATGCATGCATTCCGTTAAATCTGAAGGCATGAGATGGCTTTAAAATATTAATAAGCGTCCCTGAAACAGCCCCCCTCTCCCGCACATATTACAAATATATAAATGTTTCGTCGCTTTTTAATGCATCGTTTTCCCTAAATCAATTAGTATATGTGACTGTTCAAAATGCATACCCCAATACTACAATGTTGATTTTCACTTGAACAAAATAAAATCATAAATTAATGGCGGAGTGAGGAGGAACTACATGTACTCGGTGCACTGCTTTCGGTTATCACACAATCAGTTTACTGGATGTTAATTTAGTTGGCGTGTAGCGCATATCGGGCGCGGCCTGCCATGTGTTTTCTATGGGCGCGCGCGGCGCATAGATCGAAATAAAGCTAGCTAGCTAGCTAGACGCTGTAATATCACTTTCAATTCATCCTACACAATCAGCTCAGAAGACCTCAATAGGGAGTGTTTTGCTGTCATCTTTACAGAAGAACCAGGCCTAAATACGGCCAAATCTGTATAGTAACAGAAAAGACAAGGTATAGTGGTATTTAGTAATAATATTTATTCACAATTATGGCGTATTTATGAAACAAGCCACCATTTCCTTGAGTTACATTTAGGGGTTAACATTACAGTAGGCCTACGCGTGCGAGGAGCTGAGTGATTGCAGTTTCATTGGTGAATGCATCGCTTTTCAAGGGGGCTAGCTAACGAGCTCCAGCTACCGACGATGGTTGGGAGCTTTTCGGCGTTTACTCGGCCGAGTAATGACTATGAGTGACATTTGTTGTTGTTGGTGGTGGTTTTTATGGCATTTTTCATTGTCGTTGGTTGATTTTCGCCAGTTAGCCCGGATTCTTCAGACATAACCAGTGGCGGATCCAGGGGGGGGGGGGGGGGCCCGGCGGGCCGGACCCCCCCCCCCCCCCCCTTGAGAAAAAAATCATGCAAAATCACGCGATTTTTACCTTTTGGGGGGGGTTGGGCCCCCCCCCCCCCTGGCGCTCAAGGGGGGGGGCGTGCAAATTTTAAAATTTCCGGGGACCAAAAAAAAAAAATTGTTCTCACTACCCCCCCCCCCCCCCCCCCCCCATCCCCCCCCCCCCCCCCCCCCCACTGAGCGACTTTTCGGCTGGCGATTTTCAAATTTTCGGGAGCAAAAAAAAAAAAAAGGGTGGGCCCCCTCCCCTAAGAAATCCTGGATCCGCGCCTGGACATAAGTACATAGAGTAAAGGAGCCCGTTTTCGGCCACTTAAGACAAAATCCTATTTTTAGGACCCTTTACTTCCTATTTATTATCATTTTTTGTTCAAATCATGAAGCAAATATTATTATTATTTAAACAAAACAAGAATCCCAGAAAAAAATCACGAATTGCCATGACAATATTCATTTCAATTTTCACTGTTTCGGAGTCAGTTTTCGGCATAGCGTACCAGTTTTTCGGCCGCATGTACAAAGTCAATAGGAAGCGCGCGCACGCGCCGTGCGTTTCCGCGCTGATCTAGATCTATAGCACTAGCGGGCAGAGCAGATATCCCACGCCAGGCCGAAAACTAGTACTGTGGTGATCGGATATTGGAATCTGAATTAGACAGAGATATCGTGTGTGCGTTGCGGTGTGCGGCTGCATTGATTTAATACATGCGATGAGATACTTTTAAACTTGCAACTAGCACAAAATCGGGCTCTAAATCTGAAAAATACTTGAACTAAAGCTCATTTTATGGTACCCATATTTCTTACAGACACGCGTAAGATACTCAATTTTTCAGATTTGGGTAGCGGGACCGCCGATTACATCGCTAAAATGTGATATTTTAGGATATATTTTTCATTGCAAATGTGGTTCTTCAGTGACACTGGCATGGTATGGTATGTGTGGGATATGTGTTATGCTATTATGCGATGTATTTTAGAGTGATTTTACCTTGCATCCAACCAATCGGCCGAAAACTGGAGCTGGCCGATTACCGGCTCCTTTACTCTATGCATCGCAGCATAATTCAGGAGGCAGCTACATTCATAAGTAAAAGCTCATCGCATGTGCATAGAGTCTAAATCTCTTCTCGCACGTACCCATTTCACTTGAAATTTATAATAGTTTTTCGATTGTATAATTGTATGCCCCTTATCCTTGATCACATCTTAATCCTTATTCTGTAGAGTAGACAGTAGATCTCGGACTAAGTCTTCTGAAAATCTAATAAAAGTTTGACTCTACTCTCTAGCTCTCGGTCTTTGAAGTTTGAGTAAGAACAATGTCATCGACATTTTCATGAGAATCCAAAAGAAAAGCCAAAAGGTGGTAGTGTCAAGTTGACATTTTGGCATATTGCCTTGGGAAAAAACGCCAAAATAGTAATAGGCCTACTAATAGACCTCTACCCAAAAATATGTCAACTAGATCAGTAATAGACGTCTGTGCACTCATGCTTTTAAATAAGCTTAATTGGATGTAACTTGTATGATCTCTGTTTTGAATTTATTTGTTAGCAATTCAGCTTTGTAGATCTAGACATTCTACTGCATATTCTTCATTAAATTGATTTCTATGATTATTTCTCCTTTACAGTTTTGAAACAGGCAACAATGTCTCGCTACGGAGGCGGTCGTGACGGTGGTGGTCGTGATGGTGGCGGTCGTGACGGTGGTGGCGGTGGTAGGTCTGCAGCAGAGAGAGGATGCAAAGTGTATGTAGGAAACCTCGGAGAAAGTGCCAGCAAGTCTGAACTGGAAAAGGAATTTGGTCGCTTTGGACCCCTTAAGAGTGTGTGGATTGCTAGGAATCCTGCTGGCTTTGCGTTCGTTGAGTATGAAGATCCCAGAGATGCATCAGATGCAGTAAAGGACATGGATTCAAGGTGTGTATGTGTTTTGAAATCTGTCTTTGATGAATTGTATAAGTAGTATGTTAAATAATTAACAATTTTGTAAAAAGCAATAGAAAGTAGCTTATCTTACATTTGTTCTGGTAGTGATTACCTAAATGTTTAAATTATAAAATCTAAGTATGGATTAGATTGTCTAAATGAGATTCGTAAAACTTTGTTTTTACAAGATCCATGGCCTAGACCTTGGAATGTTAAACCTTAGAAGTTAAAGTACCCACACTATTCTCTGTATTCTTTTCAACATCCTTGTAGAAGTTAATTCTCTTATCTCTTACAAACCTTTAGGGAAGGCTTTATAGCTACCGATACCATAACATTAATGTCATCTGCTGAAAGTTTCGATTTGTGCTTCCTTGTGTTAACATAAAAATCTTCTGAAGATTCTGTTTGATGAGAATTATCTGTCGGAATTCATTCAGCATCCACTTGGAACTGGTGATGGTTCCACTCTTTACTCTTAAACCAAAATGTGTTTTGTTTTTTTCTCAAAATTATCCCAAAACAAAGTCCAGGCATATCATTTCAGTGTATATATATTTTTTTGTTTCTCAGTACCATCTGTGGACAGAGAGCTCGTGTGGAACTGTCAAGTGGAGATTCAAGAAGGCGAGGCTTCCGTGGTGGTGGAGGTGGTGGTGGAGGTAGTTTCCGAGGGGGTCGTGGTCCCCCAAGGGGTGACAGCAAGTGCTATGAGTGCGGCGAAACTGGTCATTTTGCCCGGGACTGCCATCGCAAGCGTAGCAGTGGTGGGGGTGGAGGTCGCCGTAGAAGTTATTCCAGGTATGTTCAAAGTAGTCCACAGTTCCTTACTCCATCAGATCATAAATTAGATTATCCTTGTGGAAATGGTTAAATACATTATTTGAAAATGTTATTTTATAAAAGAAAATTATTAGTTCACACTTGTGACAGTATTTTTAGACCCTCTTGGTTCAAAATGAGCTGAAATCATAGTTTTTTCCCCTAAACAGTTACATCAGGGTAGGTACATAATGGTTTTGCAATAATAATGTGAAAAAGGGATTAAGGTGGAGAATTTTTCTGTATGTGCAATGCAATAGTTCATGACAAGCATAGTTTAAAATTGCACATTATTGACTTTCACATTTTTTAAATATTTTTTTAAAATTTATGTTTTTTATTCATGATAACACATCTCAACAGTTTATTGCATGTGCTCATATCATAACACAATTAAAGTGATAAAAGCATTTATTCGTCAAAGCTTCAAACATATGTAATAAAAATGTGAAACTTTACATTTAACAAAATCTATGTGTGAATTGGTAGATCACTATGGTATAAAATTTATGAATTGTACTTACTTCCTAATATCTGTACAACATTCTGTAATTCATTTTGATTAAACTTGGTCAGAATTCTGTGACCATTCCCTCCTTCCTCCTTTTCAGGACTCTCCTTTTAACGGCTTCACAGCCAAGTAACGCCTTGAGCCTTGTAAAGTCCTTCAGGCAACCACCATAATGCACTTCCATGATATGCCCATGAGCTGGCTTGTCGACGGAATGTGATCTTTTCTTGATAGGACTTGTTCAGCAGAGGGCAGAAAGAAGCCTTGTGCTTCTGAAGCCCTCTTCTTCATATTGCACCTTTACGCCAAATCTGCACTTCAGGGTTCTTTATGAAAAATAAGCTTCAAAAATTCCAGATTCAAAATATCGACGAAGAAAAAAGGGGCTCCAAATTTGGCAAGTCACCACCATCTTCTTGCAAAAGCTCACAGTACGTCGAGTCATGCTACGTCGATAGGCACACATTTGCAACGTTTGCGACTTGTGACATCCGTTAGTTGAAGAATGCGGCCTTCAAATTGATAATGGCTTCAGGGTTATACTAGTTTCTACGATTCTGCACTTGGTAAAAAAGATCACGTATGCGTCTGGCTTCCTCATTCCAAAGCGCGTCCTTCTGCTTTCTCCTGCGTAACCCCGTCACTGCTGACAATCACAGGGAACCCTAAGTTCCCTTTTTGTCAATCTTCACCCTTCTATTTCAACAGGCGAAAGAGGTAGTAAGTGAAGGTTCTTATTTAAGATTATTTTAGTCTGTTGAGCTAGTATGCGAAACATCTCAGGGATTTTAGATTGATTAACTTTTTTATATAATAATAATAGTAATACTAGATTCAATTTGATAAGAAGGACTTTAAGTATAAAATATTGATGTCATCTGGTAATATATCTAATTATTAAAGTTTATCATTCTTTAATTCAATTATACCTTGTTGGGAATCCCCATTGTAATGTGTTTTGGAACAGGGATACAATAGTATTATTTGTGATCTCTATTTCTACCTTCATATACAATTTTGAACAAGCTAATAAGTTGAAAATAAAACGCATTTGCTACTGTCCTGGATCTGAAGTTGGGAGGCATCAACTCAATTCATTTTTATTTTAGTATTAATTTGTCATGCACTAAGATAACCTTGCATTTCTCATAAAACATACACTTGGCTTGTATAATCCATTATTGTTTGTTTTGTTTTATTTTCTTGCGAAAAAAGTTATTGCGGTGTGAAACAAGACACACACGAGGAACCTAGAGTAACAGGTACACGTAGGTCGTTCACAAAATATGCAGGAATCAGGAGTAACAATAATTTTGTGATTTTTCTGACAGGTCCCGATCTCGCTCACCTGCTCCCAGACGAGGTGGATACAGTCGAAGCAGGAGTAGGAGCAGGAGGTAATAAAACTGGATGGGTTTGTCCTCTCCTGAACCGAGCCGTTTTTAACCCCTTCAGTGATACATTGCCCACATTTTAATAATTTATTAATAATTTGGACCAAGAAAAGCCTTTTTTGTAATTGAAATTCAAACAAGTTCATGAAATGTGAAGTCTGATTTCTTGGAATAGTGAAGAAAGTTAGGCAATGAAAAAGAAACATTGATTCAAGATGTTAGAATAATTCAGAATTACTTGTGAAATTGACCATCAAGTTTTCCAGCTATATTTTGCTTCTTATTATAGTGCACTTCATATGCATTCCAAATATTTTTTTTTGAGCCGATAGCAGAACTATTGCAACTGGAAAATGAAAAAAAGTAGTGGTAAAAACTGCTCTAGCTTGAAGAATAATTATATACAGTAGAAATAATTTAGTTGAATTTTATACATCTGGTTATTTTGTACATTTCTAAAATTTCTCTCTCTCTTGTCATTTGTTGCAGTCGTTAAGATGCAGACCCGGTACCAAGATCAACACATCCTGTGCTTTTATATGTAATGTAAGTTGTCGGGTTAAATCAGGTTCAATCTCTTCTAACCCGTTTGTGTATGCAGCAGTCATCAGACAAAGTAACAAACCATCTTTACATATACTTTACACAGCACGGTGTCAATGTTATGAGATGGAACTGTAGAGTACTTCACACATGCTAAGTTGGGCTGACCTTCATGTAGGTTTTTTCACTTTTGGTGATAATTTTAAGACTTGTAGCTGATTTACATAATGTTTTCTTTTTAAGGTGAAGTATTTTGTACTTTATTATTTATTACATGTCAATGTCATTTTAATATTTAATATTCTGCTTGTAAGTCACTGTATTCATTCTAAGATTGAGTTATAGGAGGCTTTAATAGAAACAGCTGTATCCCCCCCCCCCTTCCTCCTTCCCTTGTTACTTACCTCCATATTCATATAATGATATAGAATTGATAAAACATTAAACACTTTTATGTGGCAGGTATAGATAAGCTATGTTACTGTATTTTTTTAGAAATTGAAAGTGTGTACTGTGAAATATGTACATTACAAGCCACAAAAGCCATGAATGAAAAAAACTAGTGTAATATCTTTTTGAAGTAGAAGAACACAAGACGAACATCCAGTAAATTAGATGAAAAATTAAATTTGGAGAGAAGTTGAAGTTTTTTTTAACTTGGAGGATCTCTTGAGTGTCTCAGCAGGAAGTCAAATATTAGGATTTTTTTTTAAACCATGGGACCAAGCCGCTCGTATATACAGTGCAGTGATACTTGCTTATTGCTAGGTACTTTGATTCACCTTATACCTTAGCTATATTTCTCACTTTATTTAATTCAGTTGTTTTTCAAAAATTGTGTATAATTGGAGCAGTTTGTACATCCCCATTTTGTTTTTTGTGATATCAACTCATTCCAAAATACAGCTAATGAATCATTAAGTTTGTAAACAAAAATTTGTAAGATTTTGATTCTATAGATAAAAACAATAGTCATCTTCAAAGATCTGCAATGCAAGTATTGTGTCATATCATATGAATTAGGAAACCTGTATATCTGTAGTATTGATGTAAATACATTGGTATCACGTACATGTACATGTATCGACTTATTCCTAATGGTCTGTATTTTACTAATTCAGAGTTAAACCCGACCTCCGGCAAACTTCCTTTGTTGAACCTAATTCTTGGACAAAAGCTAAACTCAGTGTCAGGTTAAAGTTAAAGTAGAATATGTGCAAGTGTGATTTATTTTGTACCATAAGAACTGAAGGGCATCCGATTTCAATTATCATCATTTATTCTCTATCTTTTTTAGTACAATTTTGTAAGGTGAAAATGTAAAGATGTGGTCGATTAGTGTTGTTTGTACTTTCAATGGTAGGTCAATTTTTTGTAATGTTACTTAAGAATCAATAAATGACAGGATTATTGCTGTCTCATTACATACAAAACATGATTGCGAGTGTCTATGTTCATGCTGAGGTATCATCCATTATTTGTCTATTCTCCTGGGCATTGTATTGTTTCACGAAACCATCATAAGGACATCTGTCTAAGTGTCTATCAAACACTACAGTACACCCAGGTCCAGAATCTTAGGAGAAATGGGGATGTGTTGATCATCAATCAAAAACGAAAGGTCGTTGAGCCGAATAGTTTCGTGATGTGGCAGTGATTATGAAAAATTCTGTCTTGCTAGAATTCAACTTATAACTGACAAGCCATGATTGTACGTCTGCCGTTGGCAAACTTATTCTTATGAACGTTTCATGATATCCTAGGCTCTTTGGGTTGTGCTTCTAGTATGCAAGAACATGATTGAGGGAGGTCAAGAACATGATTGTGTGAGGTGGAGAGGGAGGTCAAGAACATGATTAATTGTGTGAGGTGGAGAGGGAGGTCAAGAACATGATTGTGTGAGGTGGAGAGGGAGGTCAAGAACATGATTGTGTGAGGTGGAGAGGGAGGTCAAGAACATGATTGTGTGAGGTGGAGAGGGAGGTCAAGAACATGATTGTGTGAGGTGGAGAGGGAGGTTAATAACATGATTGTGTGAGGTGGAGAGGGAGGTCAAGAACATGATTGTGTGAGGTGGAGAGGGAGGTCAAGAACATGATTGTGTGAGGTGGAGAGGGAGGTCAAGAACATGATTGTGTGAGGTGGAGAGGGAGGTCAAGAACATGATTGTGTGAGGTGGAGAGGGAGGTCAATAACATGATTGTGTGAGGTACGTGGAGAGGGAGGTCAAGAACATGATTGTGTGAGGTGGAGAGGGAGGTCAATACATATACACATGCCCCCATGCACCGTTTTACAAAGAAAACCAATATACTGGGTATATCAATCTAATAATATAACGATCATTATAAATAAAACGTACATTTCCCCTCTCACCCCAGAAGCGGATCTAGAGGGGGGGTTGGGGGGGTTGCAACCCCCCCCAAAAAAAAATCCGGGGACCATTTTTTTAAATCTTATCTTTTTTTTTAAACTTGTAATTTTATTTTATTCTATTTCTATGTATTTATTTCATTTATTATTATTATTATTATTATTATTATTATTATTATTATTATTATTATTATTATTATTATTATTTCTTTTGGGGGGAGGGGGGGGGGGGGGTTGGGCGAGCAAATGTCACAGAGTCCCTTGCCCCCCCCCCCCCCATCAGCTTTTTTGAGGACACGGGCCACCGCCGAAGTGACAAGCTAGGCCAGCGTTGCCGATTCTCATCCCCAAAATCCCCACATTAAAAAAAAAAAAAAAAAAAAAAAAAAAGGAAAAAAAAAAGAGAAAAAAAAAAAGAGAAAAAAAAAAAGAAAGAAAAAAGAACGCACGCTGGAGAGAAACCCTTTCAAGTGCAAATATTGTGAGAAGATATTCAACTCATCTAGTAACTTAACCAAACACATGATAATTTTGGATATAACTGTGTATTTAACTGTTACTTGATTTAAAAAGACGTTATCATGCACTGCTTTTTATGGTCTCCATTGTGTTAATAGATGCCAGGAAAACATCACTTACGGGGTTCAAATAAACACCCCAAAAAAATCGGCTCGCCGCTTCGCGGCTCGTGGACGATGCTCCGCATCGTCATTATTGGTCAACCCCCCCCTGAGCAAAAAGCTAGATCCGCCCCTGCACCCTCTGAAAGTTTTGAAGGAAGTATGAGAAACATTTTGTTGGCAGATCCAATGTCAGGGATGAAATGCACCTTCAAAATTTGAAGTTCAAATCACATAAAATATCAATATATTGGAATAAATAAAGTACACTGATCATAACATCATATTGTTTACAATAATCATCATGCCTACATGAAGTTGGTATAGGGCCTATAATATGAAGTAATCGTTGGATGCTTGATTGAAAGCCTCTAGGCTCTTCCCCCGGCCCCCATAGACAAATAAAACAGCTTCATTGGAGGAAGAAAAACTCGTGAAAAATAGGCAAATCTTTAGGAGAGGGGTAGGGTCGGCGGGACTACGGAAATCGTTTACCGGGATAATTTTATGGCAGCATATTACACAACCCCGCCCTTTTCGGACTCAATTAGTGGCTCAATTAAAGGGCTGACCGTACCGGCGACGCATACGGTATGACGCCATATACTTTGTGCGCGATCGATCGGTCATGAGCTACAGTGCCAAAGCAAAGGCGGGCGCTTCAAATGGAAACCAGTCATTATGATTGCGTATTTTGGTCTAGAGATGGTAAGTTTTTAATTCTATCCAACATGTTGGACTTCGATTTCAGTGTTCTCTTTTGTACTAAGCCATCTTACATTCAGTGTTCAAGACATATTTGGCGTGTTAGCGTATATAGGCCCTGCTGCTTTATTTATAAAGAATGTATTTTTCTGCGCGATGTCTTTGCTGTACCGATACTAACTGGAATATCTTCATGTGGGACTGTGTTAACTCAATAACTGTTATCAACGGCTGCTGCGGTATGTTGTATGGATATGGTGAATTGGTGATATAAATAGTTGATACAGAGTTCACAGAACATGCAGACTTGTACTTGGCCTGGCAGATCTATTTGTCTTGATCATGATTGTCATATGCATTGTGTATGAACCAAAATTAGGCCTAGATCTAGTCATTAGAATGTCAATGTCAATGACAATCAAAATCAAATGTAATTTTTGCTCAAAAATTATTGTTTAGATCTAGGTCTAAAGTTAGACCTATAGATCTAGGGGTCTAGGCCTAGATGATAGATCTAGATAGTTTCATTAAATGGAAGGTCAAATTGTAATGCTTACAGCTGAGTTTTACAAGTTCGTTGACAAATAGTTCTGGAGATATTGCAGTCTCATAATTGGATGTATTAAAAATTGCAACATGGAGTCTATTCATAAAGTAAACACCAAACAATTTCTAACATGGTCATGGTCATAAATCATGACCAAAATAACGAGTTGGAACTGAGGAATCTGTAAACTACCCCAACTTAGGTTTTCAGCTGCACGTGTATGCTGACGTGTTTCATTAATTAAAATCTCTTCTTGTCTTCTGCATCTCCTTTTTCTCATTTTTATCTCATCTTATCCCTGCTCCTTCTGCTCCTCCTTTACATCTCCATATCAATGATCTCACCTTTCTCCTTCTTCTACTTCATCTACTGTTTTTTTCCTTCTTAATCTTCGTCTTTTTCTTCTTCTTTCTTTTTTGTCTTCTTCATCTTCTCTTCTTTTCTTTTCTTTTCCTACACTTTTCTCTTCTTCTTTGTCTTCTTCTTCTTCCTCTTTTTATTTTCCCAACTTTAGAAAGTGATGCTGACCTAACTGACATGGCGCAGAGAAGTGCACATGTGCCAGGTAAGTGTCAGCAAAATTATAATTAGTAAATAGCGACAGGGCTGGAACTATGTTCTATGAATACAAAGTGGGAAAGAAACTGATCAATGGACAATGCAAATTTGAGAATAAACTAAAAAAGGACCTAAAAAAAAAGATACCTCACAGATACTGTTGGTAATTTGTGTTTCATTGATTACAACTTTTAAAGTCCATAATTTTCCTATATTTGATGCGATTTCACTTCCCTCATTTTTCTGCATTTATTGAAACCAACTGAATTTTAGGGTAGACTTCCCCTTTAAAATTCCCATGGATTGATACCAGTGTAACCAGTGCGTCATTTCACAAAACTGTCATAAGTACAAGTTCACTGAGATCCCAATGAATCACATGTTAAACTTAATACACGCATTTCTATGAGTGGTCGGTGACCTTGTACTACTGATGGTTTCAGGACTCCAGGGCATATTTCATGAAACCGTCACAAGTACATGTTCGCTGACAATTAAACGTGTGTTGAATTTAATACTCGCGTTTCAATGGGTTGTTGATGAACTTGTACTAATGGCAGGTTTGTGAAACCCTGCCTTGGAGTCCATATGATATGGCTAAAAAGGTACAGATCTATCTTCAGAGATGATTGGTACTACAAAAATAGAAAAACAGCAACGAAAACAGACATACTAAAGCTTTTTGTCTTACCCACATGAATGAACAGAAAGGCAAAATCCAACAATATACTGTGGAAGCCTATTCATATCCAGTGTTGTTCACCCTTTTTCAGGTGTCACTGATACAGCATCAAGCCGAAGGAAAAATGACACTGCTCACGTCAACCTATCTTCCATCCACAACAAGCAGAAATTAAATATGCATCAAAGTCAGAAAATGAGAGTAGCAGCCTCTTCCTTAAAACCAAGCATGAAAAGTGAAAACCCATCAAAGGTATGTAACCATTTAAAGCACTATTTAGTTTTTTGAAATTTATCATGAAATTGGTTGGATTATTATTCAATTTTTCCTAGAATGTAGGATAGAACATCGCTGGAAGTTTTATGAAAATGAATAAGGGTGAGTAATAATAATGATTTCTTGAAAAAGCATCTCTATTCCAGCTTGAATTACACTCTTACTGAAGTATAAAATAACTCTGAATTTAAATATATCCTTCATATAAAGATTAATTTTTTGAAGTATTCGATCGTATTCGATCATATTCCATTGTTATCACCCAAAATGGTAACCAATGATTTGCTTTTATGTTTTTTCTCTCCATTAGAGCAACTGCTCTCAGTGTTGAATTTGTCTTTAACCCGTTTTTTAAAAGAGCACTAAAATATAAAAGAAAATACGGTTCTGTATATAGATTTATATAAAGATTGTGAAATTGAGTACGAGGAAATTTAATGTTTTGTTTTTCTATAAAAACCTGTAAAGGAGCTATGAAAGAAAATGATTTCATCATTGTTTCTATAAATTCTGTTTGTATGGGTGTCAACCCTTTGCTCTTTTCATTATACTGAAATTGTTTATACTTTTTTTATTTGTGAAAAAATCCCATTCCCAATGATTTTTAAAAAATGGTTGTAAAACATACGATTTTTAATGTGACCTGAAATTCCAACCTATCTATGATCTATTTGGCAGATTGACAAGCAGAGAGCCTCTCGAGAGCCACCTTCCCTGAAAGATCTAAGACCTGAAGATAAGAAAAGAGTTGCAAATCTCATCAGAGAACTGGCAAAGTAAGTTCAGTCTGTCTTTGAACAAATTCATCTGGAAGGTTTCAAAATAAAGTTGAGTACTGGTTATTCAATAATAATATGAAAGAAACTGGAAACAATTGGGAAAGGCTAGTTATGTTTTGAGAATTTATGTACATTGAAATTTGGGAGCTATCAAAATGAAAAAAGAGAAATTGACTCAGCTAAAATCTCATGCACTTCAAAATGATAAAGGGTGTATTGAGACTAGACATGCATGCGGCATGACAGTTTGGTCCAAGCTTTTTAGCTATTTCTTGTCATATTTTGAATAATGGGGGAAGGGGAACAACACTCCTTTTCAGAGGATGTTTCCATTGTGTTATTCTTCCAAACTGACATAAATAGAATGAGAAGGCTCCCGCATTATTTGTCCATCTTTATCAAAACTTTACCTTCTCTTTAAATCATAAGGGATTATCAATAATCAATAAGAGTGGGTTCTTGTATAGCAGTCATGTCTCTCAGATTTGACACTCCTGGCGCGCCATAATTATTACCCCTGATTTAGCACGGCTGCCATTATGACGCTCTAGCATTTAAAGGAATCAATTCCTGCCAGGTACCTGTTTAGTTCAGCTGAGTGGAGTGTGGCAAATGTAAATGAATGTCTACAATGGTGTAAATTATATTTGATCGCTGATAATGTTCAAGCTCTTTGTTCATTATTTCTTCAGGACTGGTGAAGAAAAGGAAGTGGCCAAAGAACAGCTGGAAGTAGAGAGGAAAGAAAATGAGATGAAGACTAGGACATTGCAGGCTCAAATAGAAGCCATTTTATGTGAAAGAGAAAATATCCTTTAAAGAGTGAATTATGAATAGTTCTCATTAACTCATAATTTTTTGTACAGTATCTAGAGTTAACTGAATTATTCATACCCCTTGATATTTTGTTTGTCTTTTTGATTTGTTTTGTAACTCAAGAATGAAAGGTGGACTGATTGAATACATTTAGATGTAAGCTTTAATATGTCACATTCTCAAGAAACACAAATCGGTATGGGTATGAATAATTTTGTTGTCAACTGTATGCTCTCCCTTTATTTTGGCCAACTGCCACAGTCAACTACCATTTCAATCCCGAGCAGTTAAAGAGTTGAATCTAAACCTAGGCACAGGGTAGAATTTAAAACTTAAAAGAAAATGACACTTGCTTTCCTTTTCTGAAGGTTTAATTGATAGCATCTATTTGTAGAATCAATAGTTTGTTTATTTTAGTGCACCTCTTGTCCAGTCCAGTCTGAAATTGAGTTTCACAAAAGAAGTTAAATCAAGTTCTGAGTTTTCCCTTTTTTAAAAATGACTTGGATTTCATGCCAGGTTAACTGAATTGGTAAAATATGAGCCAGTACATCTAGCTGTCTAGATAAAATGTTCTCCGGACTATATGAATCAGACAAACAATTATTGAGCATAAACAGAAGACTAGAATCAGGATTGAGAAATTTGCTGTGTATGTAATTGTACTTCATACAAATTTATGACTTTTTGTGTTGGACTTCTTGGTATGTTGTTTCCTTGACCCACTGTTTTACATATTCAGCAGCAGTACTTGGATTGTCAGAAGCTACTATCCTCCTATCAATCTAAGGTTTCTGAAGAACAGAAGAATCTCTCAGGCTCATTACATGAACATCCATCATCACAGAAGGTACACACCCTTTCATGTATATTCTCCATTCATGTTATTGGTGTACTGAGGGGTTTACTGTTTATGAGATTTTAATTCTCGGTCAAGATAGCAGGTGTTCAATGTCCTCAGCATAAAGTGCTGGCAAATTTGGCCGGTCTAAGTAGCACAAAAATATGGCATATGATTCAATACATTTTAGCAAAGAAACAAGGCTAATGTAGCTTTAAAAATAGCATTTCCTGCATGTACATGTAATTTGGAGTCTGTGAATGAATATAAATATATCATGTCTTCCTAATATGTTTTGTCTTTGTTTGATGTTTAATAGGGACATCAGTCAAATGAAGGTTGGTCTCCTGTCAAGGAGAGTGCGAGAACAATATCCCCAACACTTGCATCAAAGGCAGGCCAGGAATTTAGAGAGCTACAGTCGGTTCCTGATCATTTCAGTGAGAACAATACCAACTTTATTGCCCCACCGGGACCTAGACAGAATGGTGGTCCGTCTGAACAACAATTCCCTAACAATCACCATGGAATCTCTGAAAGACAGTTCAATCCAGTACTGAGCAGCACACACAGGAAACATCACCGATCTAGGCTCCCTTCAACTGGTGCTGAAGACATGAGAGCTCCCCAAAGTGAGAACACAGTGAATGGATTTTCATCCTCACAGACACATGGACATGACCAGTCGAAGTTAATCAACTCTCACAACCTGTCAAAGACTAATGGTTCCCAGAGAGAAGGATCAAGAAGAACAAGCCAAGAAACATTCTTTCCCCTGACTGAAGTCACTGATGAATCTGCGGTTACTCATGTGCCTCACGCAAGAAGGCTTGAGGGAAGAGAGAAGAGGAAAAGTTCAGATAGGAACTCGTGGGTCTCCCTTCCAGAGATGGATGAACAAGTTCCATACAGTTATGAGTTGCACGAGAAAGGATTAGGACAGGATGGTACTTTCAGTGGCTCTACGTCTCACCAAAAGCGACTAGATTATCGCAGCCTGACACCAGAGCAGAGACAGCGGCAACTTGGATCGCTGAAGAAGAAGCTTCAGCAGGAACAGGGATGGCTGCAACAGAAGCTGCAAGATCAAGAGCGATTGCTCTATCACAAGAGACTAGAGGTAGAGAGACAGAAGCAAGAGCTGAGTCACTTAGAAGATACAGGATATGATCAAGTTAGGAGAGAGTATCTTGGAGGCAGAGCAGGGCAGCAGCAGAGAGAAAGGACAGGGGTAGGTGGGGAATATAGAACAAGATTTGACGATAGAAACGATGGTTTCGAGGAGGATGGATATCACAAGAGGGTGGTTCCTGAAGGAGGAAAAGATGAAGTCACATCACCATGGCAACAGTATGAGGAGCAACCCGTATCTACAAACTATCCTCCTGATGATTATTTTGGAGAGATGGATCAACAACAATTGACCAGAAGGAGAGCTGGTGATCAGTTTGACAATTACAGGGGGAAGAACACTCCTGGTTATGCTGAGGACAGTGATATTGATTACCAAGAGTATGATGATGAGGATGAGGTGGAAGATGAGGAGACTTGGTATGAGATGAGGGAAGAGACGGAAGGAGCAGATAATGGGAGAAGCATTCAAGGTTATGCATCTCTTCACCCACAGCAAGCCACGAGAAAACAAGGTAGTTATGTCGTCTTTGTCATTCACATGTATTTAACCTACTGTTTACAGAATCAATGAAAAAAATGCACAGGAGTGTTGAGTGATCACTGATGTAGCTATGGAAAGCTTTAAAGGAGCTCTGAAAATAGTTATTTCAGATTTGATTTCCTTCAAGTGACAGAAAAATGTAAGAGAATGTGCAATTAAAATTGCTGCCCAATAGAACTTTATGCAGTATTTCTCAAACATAGTTGCCTCAGCCACATGATATTGAGGTTTTATTCCACATTATCTACATGTAATTGTATTCAGTGTCAACATCTTGAATAGTTCAATGAAGGTTACTGTAACCCTAGTGTAGACAATACGAAATTGAAATGTATGATAATGATGCAAAATCTCTCTTCCTGTATTTCAGGTGCTATTCACCAACCAGCAGCTACAGATCCTGCCACATTCCAAAGCTACCAGTCCTATCACAACTCTAGCCTTAGGGACACAGTAAATGGTGCTGAGGTCAGATCGAATAGGGGTTACCCAACAAGGTCAGGGTTGTTTTATGTGGATTTCCCGTAAATGACCATAATAATTGTATTATAAATTTTAATTGTAAAATGTGATACAGCCATAAAATGAACAGTTTTGGTAGTTTGGTAAAGTGGTAGAGATATTAGCACATCTGTCTTCATTTAATTCATGAGTCTGGCAATTCTTTATCTTAGGTAAAGATCACCTGCAAATCCAAATGTATTAATAAGCTCATCCTCCATGTATGAGTGAATGACAGGGTTAGTCATATGTTTAGGCCTAGGATGAGAATAATGTTAAGTGGCCAGTGTAAGATGGTACAAAATCCATCTGTTGATGTTCAAAATGTATAACTGAGGTATAAAGTTTTTGTATGATATTTTAGGCGTCATTTCAGTATTTTTCAATCTCTCCCTCATTCTAATGTCAGGATCAGTGAACCACAGAAACAGTATGGAAACATAACAACCCTCCTGGACGAAGAGGGTTTGACTGGTCTATCACTGAATGGGTCCAATCCTCCATACATGACTAGACCAAGAACTAAACCTAGACCTGAGACTACCACCACCACCACCCCTAAGAGGAGAGTCAATGTACAACCACACCAGACCCATCGGTCTCAAACCCATACTCAGCATCAGGCAGAGATGAGAATGCATTCAGTAGGTCCAGACCGAACAAGAGAGAGAGATAGAATGACAAAGGAACTGTACATGTCCCGTTCACAGCAAGGAAAGACTCGGGATATCAAAACACGTCCTGCTACCGGTCAAGCTAGGATGAACTCTACTGGTCAATCTAGGATGGACTCTACTGGTCAATCTAGGATGGACTCTACTGGTCAATCTAGGATGAACTCTACTGGTCAAGTTAGGATGGACTCTACAGCTCAAAAAGGATCATTGCACTCTTACGCAGGTAAACTACGTAGCAATCAACTTCAACTTCTCTGTCTGTTTTTTTCCCCTCTCTCTCTTTCTCTCTCTCTCTCTCTCTCTCTTTCTCTCTGTCTTTCTTTCTCTCTCTCTCTATCTTTCTCTCTCCCTCTCTCTCTCTCTATTTAACTTTCCTCTCTATTTACTTTTATATATTTTATTGTCAGGTATTTCACTTTTTCCCTTTATCATGTGCAATGTTAAGTAATTCTCATGATAAAACATGGGCAATTATAACACTGAAAAGTTGAGATTGCTTTCTTTTGTAATTTGTTACTCATCATGTAATATTAAATGTTTATTTGTCCACAAATTTCTCTTATTACCTGTAATCCATAAAGGTATATCATTTTGACTTGCAGATGCTACTGAGGATGATGCCCTACATGCTCACCTAGTTCAAAGGTCACATCAGGTCATCCAGGAGATTGGAATGCTTCTCAATCAGAGCGCTGAGATGGGAGAGGAGGAAGAGTCCAAGGTACTTGAAGATGTCTTCTTCCTCAAGTGAATTCAATATCTAAGAGGTATGGTTGTCAATATCACTCTTTGAGTTCTGATATTTCAATAGGAACTGGCATAAAGCCATTTCAGGATCTGATAGATATAATTGTCAATATTGCCGGGGTAATCTCAAGTTCTGCTACTGGAACTGTATTTCAATTTGAATTTGGAATGTTACTCAATCAGAATGCGTAGATTAGAGAGGAGGAAGAATCCAAGGTTCTTTAAGATGTCTCCTTCCTCAAGTGACTTTGTTATCTGAGAGAGGTAGGTTTTGATGATATCCTATAGGTTATCTTCAGTTTTGATAATAGAATGGTATTATTTACATGTGCTTCAGTGAGAGTTGCAATGTAGTCAATATCCTACACTAGTAGAATTTCTTAACTGGGACCCTGGACCAAATATTAACCTAACCTTAATCCTTACCCTAAACCTGAGCTAAAACCTAATTGCAGCCCTAACCCTATTTCTTTGACAAAATAAAGCATGAAGCAATTGTTGCTAGAGCATATGTCAGAATTTAAGGTGGTCCATAACATGTGAGTAATTATTGTTCAAAAGAAAGAGATGTTTTGATTAAATCAAGTCAATTGATATACAAATTATTATTTTGATTGATAAACAAATTGTGAACATTGTGATGTGACAAGTTATGTATTGTAATAAAATATTTCACCCAATTTACCACGAAGAAGACAATCTCTCTTTGTGGCTGTAGAGAAGAAAGATGGTAGCCATAAAACTGTCAGAGTGACATTCACATATTATTCCCAGAATATGGAAATAGATCAGGATATCTGAATTGATATTCCTCTTTGTGCTGGTATCAATAGGATCACATTTCTGATTTTAGATTTTTAAAATAAATTTCTTGGTCATGTTGAATGGATTACATGAAGTCTAAAGACATTCATGTGGTGTGGTAGGGAGCTACTGTGTCAAATATCTTAAACTTGCTGTGATTGTCATGACATGATTTATTGTAAATGTGATGTATCTTACTAATATTTAGTTTTCTTTTTGGTATAAGTTGACTAGTATATTGGTAAAATCAATCAGTAAAAACATAATTAGTAAATCCTTGCTGTCGAAAGTATAGTAAAATAAAGAAAACTTACAATTCCATTTCTTTCCAATTAAAATGACCCTAACAAAATCGCAATTAGGAAAGATATCATACTGAGCACAAACCTAAAGGGGTTAGAGAGAGGGTGGGGCATTAAGATTTCCAATCTGCCAGAGGGAAAGATGGAAGAGTCATTCACAGACTATATTCTTAGTAGGTTCTGAAGTACTTGAATAGATTAGTTCAATTTCCTGACATAAATAGCCTGAAGGGAAATGGCATCTATGGGGGAAAGAGTGTATCATTAATCATAATCTTTTGACTTTTTGAGAGCCAGTAGGGCATTAACTTTGTTAAAGTTTATATGAGTTAATGCCTTTCGTGCTCTCAGTAGACAATTTAGATCACTGAACAATAGTAATACACTATGATGTCTTGGTTTGAAGATTTGGTCTGATTGGATGTTGAATTCAGTTTGATTCATGTTATTTAGCACACGTACATGTACATGTTTTTTTGAGGAGGGTTGTTTGTCAGATGACAACATTTCAGCTCATCTTACGTTGATGTTTTTTAAATACATTTTGTTTGCCCTATTTGTACCTAGGTCATTTTCATTACAGGCGTTTTTACATCTGGCATGTCACCTGAGACATTTTACTTCTGGTATGTCTACCAGGCACCATTATTTTTTTTCACTCAGCATTTCTTGACTTTTCTCTGTACTGTTAACTATTAAAAAAAAAAAATCTGTAAATAAAATGATAATCCTGCCAATTTAGGTTTTGTCACATAATAATTTTGACAGAACAGGGCTTTGCATTCTCATCCATTGACCACAGTAGAAGAAAATGTGAAAGAAATATTGTCCAATAACAAAACTAATATACATTCTTCATCTGGTTTGAAACACTTCAGTAATTAATGCATTCAATTTAATTTAATCAAGAAAATCATACTTAAGTTTACATATGAAAGTGGTAACTGTCATGATAATTGATTAATCCACCTTATTATGATTGATGGTGTTGTTATTCTGCAACTAGTTTCGCTTTGTTATGCTTCATCTACTTTTGCTTTATGCCAATCTATACCTGACCTCACTATGAATATGACGGACAAAGAAAGCGGACAAAATATACAGTTCCTCAGGTAGACAAAGGAACATCCCTTCACTGATATTATGTAAAACTGTGTAGAACAGGTGAATATGCATGTGACACCTGTTTTACACATTTTAACATAATAGCAGTGAAGGGATGTTCCTTTGTCTACCTGAGGAACTGTATATTTTGTCCGCTCTCTTTGTCTGTCATGTTCATAGTGCCTGTGTTTTATCTCTGCATCCCATTTTAATTAACAGATTGGTTTAAATCATGAAAATATATGATGATTAGACTCTGCACTTTAATCATGGTGTATGGATGGTCTAAAAGCATGAGTTTAAAGAATGGTATAATTTAGAGCTTCCAAATTTCCATAAGCAATAATATATGAAGAAGGAACAACAAAAATTACTCTGGAAGTTTATTTTACGAGTTTTCATGAGAACATTTCTGCAATGTGTAAATGTATTATTTGAAGAGAAAGGGAAAAAGAGGGCCGGATAGATAAGAAGAAACAGTTGAAATCATATGTCTCGCTTGTCTCGATAAAAGTACATAACACAAAGCAAGCAATTGACACAATTTCCCTTTTTTAGTACTTTTTATTTTCAAAATAAGTTTCCATTGTGACCATTTTACAGAGTAAAGTCATAATACAGTACTACTGTACTAGTATACTGGAACACATTACAACAATTGACTCTGTGAGTCTTGCTACATTGTACATACATGTACATTTCTAACTTTCTATATTCGTACATTCTGAGCCTAAGGTATAGATCTCTATTTGTAATTCTACATTATATCCACTTAATCCATCAAGCTGGTGGACAGGACAAGCAGGATTAGTGGTCAACAATATTGCTTTCCATTTTGACAAAGTACCTTCTCCTTAATTATCCTGTTGCTGTAGATTCCCACTCTTCTATTGTCCTTTGCAGAATAAGGAGCTGTATTTGATTACACGAACAATAGAATCCATTTCATGCTTTTGCAGTAGAGCCTATTCCATACAGATTTGCCATACCTTGTTGTTGCATTAGTTTTTTTTTTATCTAGGGAAACAAACTGCAGATATGGAGGCTGCACATTTGGTATCATCTGGTTAGAGCCAAAAAGGCATCAAGTCATACTTTAACACAGACTTATTGTCCTTCTGGCTCTCAGTGGTTGATATGGTATTTGACTACTGTATAGAATATCATTACCTCAGTGCCGAAACACTCTTATAACTAGCAAGACTGTATTTGTCGTGTTCACTAAAATGCCCTCTGGTTACGAGAGTGGGGCACTGTGTCAGGGGATGCATGGTTTTGCTGCTATTTTGAACAGAGGCAATGATATGTCCATGTAGTACACTCAAATGAACATCTCTAGGCCTAACTCTCATCCTTGGAAATGTGCCTTCTGCATAAATAATTTGTATGTGTAGAGCCAAAAGAGCATCAACTATGTGTTTATTATCATGAGTTACTGCCATTCTGGCTCTAAACATTCAAATTGAACTATATCTACATATCAAAGAATTCTGACCAATCGGATGATATTACTTTTATCTCCTCATCCTTATCTAGACTCGTCTCTATCAGTCTATCTACCTAAATATCTATGCAAATATGACAAATTCATTTGCACATCAATCACTACTATAGTCCATAAAACCAACCATTCATGTACATTTGATATATTTCTCTGCTATAATTTTTGTACTTTGAGCACCATGTGTGCAAATATGATCTTTGATATCTATGAAAAGACAACACTTAGTGAACATGTATTTCAGTCAAAGAATTATAATCTTTACCACATAATGAACTCTTGCTTGTATTTCAAATATTTGTTATCTAAACCATGAACATGATGTTCATTTTTCTCTCTCATTCCAAAGTCAACAATGAAACCAAAAACTTGTAATAATACAAATGTGCTTTTTTGCATACATGAGTATTTCTATCAGAAATGTATTTTATGTGTTTGACCTTTGTACACCAATTCTGCATTGTGTACGATGCGAAAAGAATCAATTAATTGACGAGTCATGATTATTTTGAAGCAATATGCTTGCAACTAGCAGTAGCATGAACCATTGTTTTGGGTTGGGAGTCATACAAGTTGATTAGTTCGCAAGTGTTTTCAAATTTGATACAAACATATTCCACAATGTCTGTTACCTGACATAGGGACGGCCAATATGCACCCTTCATAGCAATATATCACTGCACATTTTCATGACTACCAGTAGGCACTTGGGAAAATAATGATTATGTTTTATTAAATTTGAGTGCATTTGTGAACTGATCTGTTATGATATTGGGACAACAGGAGAAAAGTTTGCTAAATCCTGATTCTAATACCGGTACCTAGTTTGGGATAAAAAGCAAGATGTATACTTTTTCAGTTTCACTGATCACATTTCATAGGCTCCACACACACACACACACACATCTTTTAAAAATTATACAAGATATGTCAAACATGGAAATACACATGACACCAGGGGAAAAAAATACTTTAAAAATTTTGGGGGCTACTTTTCAAGCTTGCTTGCATGAAAATAACACTCTTTATTTTGTTTTGCATTGAACTCTATGCAATTTTGGGGGGCTCTTTTTTTGCACTTCGTGGGCTAATTCACCCCGAGCCCCGTGTATTTTTTCCCTGATGACACAAAATCTGATATGCAGCAATAAGATGACAAATACCATACAGCCTGAATAATTAATACATGAGAATGATGAATGTTGTGTACATTACCAGTAGAAAGCAATTTGGGTGGGATAGGTGAAATCTTGAATAGAGGATAGCAAGTCATTACCAGTTCATGTACTTTTACGTGAGTATGCATGTATTGTTTATTTGAATATTCATTTTATGATTGTGACATCGTTTGGTTAGGGTGATTACATGATTTGAAAATTGAAGAAAAAAAAACAGAAGAAAAATAGCGGTTGCTTGCTTTCATTCTGTAGGATTATTAGCTCCATGATGATCTATGATGTCACAATAAAATCTTAATTCATGTTTATTTAAATAAAATGTATTTTGATATGTACACAACACTAAGTTTTCATGCTTCCATTAACATGGAGTTTTTATTTTATTTTACCTGGAAAGTTTGAAATGATACATTACTTGATACATTTGCGTAATCGGATACAATATTACACCCAAAGAAAGTGAGATAGATCAAACTCATTGTACATGTCATAAATTACTAACTCTATGATAAGTTACATAAACATCAGAACACTGCACATCACTTATTGCAAAAATACATTTACAAATTAAATAATCATTATATACATATTTCGTGATCAATAGTAAGGTCTGATATATAGATATAATTTCATATACTTTCACTTTGGCACATAGCGTCTAGTATTCCAGTGAATTGTCTGAAAATTTCCCGCAGAGCTCCCAAACTCGATAATCCTCTATGATCTACATGTTTAAGATTTTGTTCCTCATTGTGTCACATTAATGATTAATAAATCATTAAATATAATTGCATCTGCTGAGCAGTAAGTAGATAAGGAAGGAAACAGAAACACTTATCATAAACCTTTGAGGAAATAGTATGAACTGCTTACTTTTATCAGCTGGCAACAAGTGCACATGGGAAGAAGTGACCATCATCAAATCAAGAATAGTTTTATTTTATTGTAATTTTTTACATCAAATCAGGTTTCCTTTCAGAAAGAAAAAAAACGAATCTGAAAAGTCAACAGTTGTGAGGCCTCAATCAACTGTCTATTTAATTTAATTACATATCCAGTATTCTAAAAATCTGTGATTCTCAAAAAATACCTTCAAATATCTTGTTCACATTATTAAGTTCCTCTGTTCTAGAGATGTGGAGTATCTTCAAAATGTTCATATGTAATTAAACCTTTTTAATGATATCACAGTTAATGTTAATATGTTCAGAATGATCACAGAGTCACAAAATATATTCATAATGCGAAGATGCAATACATTGTAGAACTTTTTTCAAGTCTTTTAAGTTCTCCTTAGATAACGGATGTGCCTTTGCGGTCTAGTCTCTGTTTCTTGTGCATGTAGCTTTTAGTTGTGGAGACTGGTGTCATCACCACTGCTTGCAAACTTACTTTCGGCTCCCTATTTCCCTCTGTAGTTGTTCAATAGCTGGCTTTGCCTTGTACTCCAGCCCGTAAGTCAGAAACTGTAAGATAAAAAGACCAGAAGCAAAGTAGTTAGATAAAGTTGGGTACCAGTAGGCATAGTTTGCCAATCTGCTCTCTTGCATTGTTTTATTTTATCATCTCGCACACCATGTAAGGTGATAGACAAGGTGATGAGATTGATGAGGGAACAATAAGCACAATGAACAAAATTAATTTTAAAATTCACAGTCTTCTTTCTTCCTTTCTTTTGCCTCATGGAATCTATTTCATGTTTGTTCTAACCAGCACTTGTAAGTAGTCATGCCCTGGCTCGAAAATGAATCTGTTCAATGCACTTTTACACAGTAAATTTAATTTCACCCAAAATATTATGCTAGTTGCATTGTATAACAGATTTTATTTATGTGTAATACTTTCCACTATACAATCGTATAAGGACAGTGGATCAAACATTTTGGAACACGTCCCTTTGTGACCATTTTGCTTGGAATGATAGAATTCATCTACACATTACCTTTTGTTTTTCTGTCTCCTGTACTTTAACCCAACGATGTGGATTTGACTTCCTGTTGATGCTGGATAGGAAAAAGAATAAATAAAATGTAAAAAAACATGCCATTTTGAATTATCAGAATTATCAGACTGACAAGTTATAGTTATACTCATAGATCATATTTATAATTCTGAAGCATTATGTACATGTAATAATGCATTAAGTTCTGAATCTTAATTCACAAAGAATCAAATTTTGTTCAGGAGTGTATATCATAATCCTTTCCATTATGTCTACCGTGTGAATACTACCTACATGCAATGTTAAAAACAATTTCATAAATTTGGCAGCTTGGGAAACCGGTATTCAATGACATTTTCGAATTCCTGTATTATGCCTTCCAGGCATGACCTAGTAGTAACACTATATTACATCAAGAGCCCTGTATATTGTTCCATCTTTCTCACTTTCCCACTTGACATGTCATTTATGGACTCAAGAGAGATATTGTTACCGGTACCCCCTTAGAGACATTTAATGAGGCGGGTAGCCCCAGGGTGGAAATGCCGTGAGATGACAGTGGATTGTGAACTTATTTTTAACAAGAACTATCAATTTTGTTTTTGAAATTCTTTTGTGTAAGAGTATGACCTGTATCACATGTTTTAGATCATAAACAGACACAATGAGATAATAATAACATTATGATAAACCATATTTCTTTAGGCCATATCACCACAGAAATAAACACAAAAACTATTGCTAACATTCATGTCTATTTTATATGATTCAAATACAACCTCCAAAAAATTATTTTTTATAAACTTAGGATCTTTTCCTTCAGCTTATACACTTCCTTTTTGTATATTTTCCACCATTTTCTAGATGATTCACAGTAAGAAACAAGTTATCTTTTCTAGAAATATAGTTCTTTTTTCAACTTATCACAAATTTGACCATCTCTTTCTTGTCTTGTTGTTATCATTTATACAGAGCCTTTAGCGATGAAACCCCACCGCCAAGTCTTCACTGGAGCTCAGAAGCTCTACATTTACATTCACTCTCTGGTAAGGAGAGTGCTGATGAAGATTAGATGAGAGATGGCAGATCCATACATGCCAACTGTTCAGATTAAAGAGGAACATTCCTCTTTTTGGGAGAAGATAATTATCATTTTAATGCAGGTGTTCCTCTTCCTGTACAAATTTGTCTGTAGTATTGAATAGGAGAGTTAGGATTGTTCCTCTTTTTTTTTGAAAATAGCATAATTTGTACAGATTTCTGATTTTCAAATGTTGGCATGTATGCAGATCCAGGAAGGGGGGACCGGGAGGGGGAGGGGGTGGGGGAGGGGGTAGATACTTACACCACATCAGTCTTCTTGAAGAGGGAGTATGATGAGAAGGCACCCGCCATCACACAGACTGAACCACAAATGATTACCACTGGCACCAACTGAGGCAAAACAAAGAAAATGAGAACATTCTTTCATATTTTTTTCTCTCTTATCCTCAAGCAAGGTTTTTATTTTCATAATTTTAATACATATTTACATTAATTACTCTGAAACAAAATGAATGAGATCTTTGTAATGTCAGAGAACTTGCAATATATTGATAAAAGATATGAGACTTCCGAAGAGTTCTATTTACACTTTCATATATAACAAGAAGCTAAACATTTTAGAGTTACTGCAGAGATGTTTACCCCCCCCCCCCCCCCCTGGCAGGTTATACGAAGAATCCTCTCACATTGATTTCATGATGAATTCTAAATGCTTGTAATCAGGAGGAGAATGACATTAAAAGAAAATGGAGAATTCCAGGGTTCAATTATTTCTACACACCATTATGCTGCTTCTGATTATATAACATGTGAGAAGGAATAAAAAAAAAATCTACTTATTTATTGAAGACTGAAGGACTCATGGATACTAGTAGTATGATGTTATACAGCATTGACATTTGTCAGTGCATAATGCACAGGCCCTGTGTTTAAACTTTAACAATTGCTATTCTTGCTGTAAAGCCCTGTCTTATTTCCTTTCTCAAAGTTATATTTTGCAGGTTTGATTGTAAAATACATGTGATTTCTACGATGGCTGCTTTCCATGTCAATTTGTTTATATATTCATATCTAATTCAGGTAATGGTACTTTAAATTTTGTGATGACTTTCTTCCATCAATGTACGGTGCCTGTATATTCATTGTACTTTGTATATAAATTGTTTATTTATTAGGATATTAAAATGGATTTAAATTATACCTCTGGTAATCTGTTCTCATGATTTAATTCAGCACACTGTTATTTTCACAGCATTTGGTAATCTATTCCTTTCCATTCCTATCACTCCATATCCTACTCTTTCTCATATCAAATTCATCTAATTTTGCTGTAAAATGTAAGTGTTGTTGGTGCGTGTGTGTGCATTGATTATGATTCCATAACGTGGTAAAGAAAGTGAATTTTGAGGCAAGATGTACCAAGTAGTTGATGTTTACTCCCATAGATTCAGCATTAAAACTTATTAGATGAGTACTCTGGAAAAAGCAGTCATTTTGTAAAGTAATGAAATACTAGTATCACAAGCAAATGCTCTGAGATTGGGAGTTCTGCCATGCATGATTGTTATTATTGGATTGAAGTTCTTATCAAGTATATACATTGGATATCTCAATAGTTTGTAGAAATGGATGCGATTGGATTGAATTCCTTGTCGTTCTAAACAAATTACTTAAAACGACAACAATGAAATATAAAGGGCCTTCTCACCTCGTAGTTAGCCATTCCTTTCAGCCTCATGAGAATACCGTATCCACCGACGCCGTGACCCATCTTGGCTTCGAGTATTCACTGTGTAATGTAGAAAGAGGATTGTCAGTTAGATTTAAACAGTGGTATATATTTACATGAGGAGGATGTGTGGTTGTGAGAACAGAGTAGAAATACAGACAAATACAAACAAAAATACACAGGATCATTATAAACATACCTGTTGAGAGAGAGAGAGAGGGAGGGGTGGGGGGGGGGAGAGAACGGACAGGGATTTTGAGAGAAAAGGAAGCGAGAGATGACAGAGAAAGAAAATGAGGGAGAGAGGCAGAAAGAATAAAGAGAAGAGAGTCGGCGCAATTCTGCTGACCCGAGAAAGTAATAAGCAGGGAGATGTGAGTTTAAAAGCATCAGTGATTTTCATTAAGTAGTTTAGGCGAGGACTGATAATTAATTTGATACAGAATAGTGTCGAGATGTATTACGAAGTCAAGTAGGCGTGTATGATGTCGTTTTCTATGTTATATTGTTGCCAGGTGAGGTGTAAGAGGTTGACTGATAATACACCGGACTCGTCTATACTCTGCAGTAATATACTTCTTGTCAGAACAGTGTTTAATGTCATCCCCCTATATCTTCAAAAATAAAAAATAAATTATGCTGTTCTTTTTTCTCTTTATTATTTTAAAGTTAATCTTTTCTTCATGACTGTATTCTTCGTTTCCTTTATTCGATTATTCTTCTACCTCCTCTTTCTCTTCTTCATCTTCTTCACCATCTTCATCATCATCTTTCTCAATTTTTTCTTCGTCGTCTTTCTCTTCTTACTCCCCCCCCCCCCCTCCTTCTACCTTATGTGCCAGTTTTCATCTGCAATTACTTCTCGATTCCTCTCTTTATACTTTCGTTCGTTTTTCTTTTTTTTCCCCCTTTTTTTCTTACATTATCTCCTTCGATATAGTGTGATTTACGACTAGATATTAATGCAAAATGCAATAATCGTCACGATAATCGCCGTTGCCGTCACCAATAATGTGATATCTATCATTCTGTTTTGCCCTTGCGTGTCATGGAATAAACACAACGTTAATAGCGTGTGGGATTTAGAGAGATATCGCCTATAGCCAGTGGTTTGAATTATCTTCATTCGTCTGCTCTAGCCCGAAGATTGAATTTCGCGTCGAGGCACTTCCAAAGGCGACATGTTAAATTGAGATTAATATGAAAGTTTTCTTCAGGGAAAGTCTAATGCATCCACTTTCCATTTGTTGTCTGAGTATTTGATCACAAGTGGTTTATGAGTGCGTTTGATTCTGAAGTTATGATTTATTGCCTAAATTGGAGAAATAGACTGATACAGTGATAGCCAAAAACTAAACAGCAATAACTTATCATGTGTCATAGCACTGCGATCGCAAACAAATATAAAAAATATATAAATTAACGAATCAAATTGAGGCAATTTCCGTAGCCATGAAAATCACCTATTGAAACATATACATTGGCGTGTAACCTAATCTGAATATTAATCCTATTGGATTATTTGGATATACATTTTGGTAATTAAATTTGCCCCTGAATTGATTTCTTGACAGTCTTTATGATCATGTTTTGCATATGATTATTACATTTCTGACAGCAATACAACCAACTGAAGTGCAAGATTTATTATCAGCATAAATTATGGTGATTATATTCTGCCCTGTTGGCCTACATGTCATAATGCATTGCCCTTTCCTCCGCTGGGGGGCATTTTGAGAAGTGATTTGGGTCAAGTCATGATATATCAAAGGGAGTGAATAGAATGGAATACAAACAAAGATTTACATTATTGTTCCTAAAATAAAACTTGTTCCATAATCCTTTGTTGTTTCGTGTTCAAAACTGATGTAGGTCTAGGTCCCTTAGTCAAAATAATAATATTCAGTGAATCATTCAATAGCAGTGAAGCAGGTTCTGATAATTATAAACCACTTGGGGGGGGGGGGGTAATGTAGCGTGAAGTCACCTCGGCGTTTAAAAAATATTGGCCATTATGCACACTCTTTTGAAAGGCTATGGAGTACCGAAGAGCTCACGCCATATTCGCTCAACATCCAGGTTACTGGTATTACAGAGCCTGTGCATGAGGTTCACCTCACCGCGAAATCATTCAGGGCAACTTCAATGTTTGGCGCCGGTGTGATCACCACGCCATTGTTTAGCACAAAATTGTTTGGAATCCTCAATCTTGACAACTTTGCTAGTATAACGTCACACCTCGGTACACTACCATGATGATTATAATTTCTATGAATAAGAGTTTGGCTCACAGATCAGTTAGCCTGGATTTGTTTCCACGTCAAACATTATACGTAGCAGGAAATAGTAAGAGGGGGGAGGAGGAGGAGGAGGATGTCGTGGTATCATATAATTATTTTAATTTCTGTTAATACCATCATCATCATTTCTTCCCTATTATTAAACATTTAACATGAAAACCTAGATACATAATAATACAAGCTCGACGACCAAAATTATAACTTAAAATAGTATCTGATGGCGACTTTTGACTTTCCCATCTAGTATATCCTTCAATGTGATTCTCTCATTTAAATGTTGTCATTGGCTGTCTACCTAGTGAATGAAAGCTGAAATCCGACCCCTCTACTATACACATACATACAGGCGCGGATCCAGGGGGGGGCCGAGCGGGCCTTGGCCCCCCCCCCCGCAAAAAAAAAAAAAGAGAGAGAAGAAAGGAAAAGAAGGGAAAGAGAAAGAAGAGAGAAAGGGAAGAAAGAAGAGGAAGAAGAAAAGAAAAGGGGGAAGAAGGAGATTGGGGAAGGCGAAAGGGCCTTGCCTCCCAGGCTGTTGACCCCCCCCCCCCCCCCCCCAATCAAAAAAATAAGAGAGAAGGAAGGAAAGGGAAAGAAAAAAGGAAAAGAGGAGATACTGGCGTACTGATAGGGGGGGGGGGGCTTGGGGGAAATCAAATTCAAACGTGGTTTATTTCTAATTCCACAACGGTGGATTACAAATAATGCTGAAATGACATAATTTCCGAGATTTTTCCTCACTTTTTAGTTGATTCCTACTTGTCAGGGCCCGAGGTACGGCGGGGATCGGGAGCCCCGAGCCCCCCCCCCCCCCCTACTTTTTTGAAAAAGTATATTAAAGAGAAATAAAATAGAATGAGAGCAAGAAAGAAAGAATAGTTAACTGCCAGTGTTGAAAAATAATGAGGCATCAAAATATGCTCATCTGACCGTGATTAATGCCTAAAACCCCTAAGCTTCCAGAGGCTCTGCCCCCTGGATTTCACCTAGGGCCCTACGGCGGGCCCTTAGATGCTCATCTGACGGTAATTTAATGCCTAAAACCCCTGATATTTTGGGGCTCCGCCCCCTGGTCCCCACGCCAAATAGTGACGTGCCAGTCTCACAAAATAATAAGGTATACAAAAATATGCTCATCTGACCTTAATTAAACGCCTAAAACCCCTGAGCTTCCGGGGCCGGCTCCGCCGCCTCGACCCCCCCCCCCCCCAGGGGCCCTAAGACGGCCCCTGATTCAGACAAGGATTAAGAGTATAGAGAACGATACAACGCATCGTCTTCTTTCTCTAATAATATAATGAAACGTCAAAGCTTCGCGCAGGAGGGGAGGGGGGGGGGACTGAATTCAGACAAGGATTAAGAATCGAGAACGGTACAACGAATCGTCTTCTTTCTCTCATAATCTTATGAAACGTCAAAGCTTCCGCGCTTCGCGCGGGAGGGGGGGAACCTGAATTCAGACGAGGATTCAGAGGCGAGAACGGTAATACGAATCTTTAATGATTTAATGAAAGGTAAAAGCTTCCGCGCTTCGCGCGGGATGGAGGGGGAACTAAATTCCGATGAGGATTATTTTCGAGAACGGTACAACGAATCGTCTATTTTCTCTAATGATTTAATGAAACGTAAAAGCGTCCGCGCTTCGCGCGGGAGGAGGGGGTTGGGGGAGAATCTAAATTCAGACGAGGATTATTTTCGAAAACGGTACAACGAATCGTCTTCTTTCTCTAATGATTTAAGGAAATTTAAAAGCTTCCGCGCTTCGCACGGGAGGGGGGAACCTAAATTCAGACGAGGATTAAGAGTCGAGAACGCGACAACGAATCGTCTCCTTTCTCTAATAATTTAATAAATCGTAAAAGCTTCCGCGCTTCGCACGGGAGGGCGGAACCTAAATTCAGACGAGGATAAAGAGTCGAGAACTCGACAACGAATCGTCTTCTTTCTCTAATAATTTAATAAATCGTAAAATTTTTCGCGCTTAGCGCGGGAGGGGGAAAACTAAATTCAGACGAGAATTATTTTCGAAAACGGTACAACGAATCGTCTTTTTTCTCTAATAATTTAATGAAACGTCAAAGCTTCCGCGTTTCGCGGAGGAGGGAGGGGGGAAATCGCCCCTCCCTGCACCGACCCCCCCCCCCGCATTACGTCACTGTTGGTCACCATTACGTACCAATATTTGGCTCGCAAAATTTCAAATTTGGGCCCCCCCCCTAAGAAATCCTGGATCCGCGCCTGCATACATAAACATCAGTGTCGATCGTCACCCCTGATCATGTGCCTTGGGGTGGACGACGACATTGAATAAAACACTGACTGACCATCGGGTGCATGGAGTACGTGCAGGAATTCATCAACTGGCAAGCGGAATTTAGGTGTCGTTGGCTAATAATAGCCAGTGTTTGTGTATTTGTATTACGTCAGTCATCCCGTAATTCCATCTTTCATATTAATTTTCTTTTCTTCTGTCACGTTCTCGCACCACCTCGTCTGATTCTTTTAATCATCGGCGACTTTGGGGGGAAATTTCGACGCGATGTTTAACATGTTGACAATAATATGACGAATATAATTATAACTGGCAGATCCAGGATTCTGTTTGACGGGAGTGGAGGCAGGAGGGGGGGGGGGAGGGCACAAGTTATAAAAAGTACGTGACAAGCAAAAAATAAATATATAACGATATTAAATTAATAAAAATGAAAAGTTCACCAGTCCATGATTCTTTGTATCTTCATTCTTCAAGTTCCCTCTCT